TTCGCCAACTACGCGGGGAATTTTACAATTGAGATGGAAATCTTTTGTTCAAAGCTGTGTCCATCGTAGCTTCACCCCCTGAAAAAACTGGTTTTCGCGTAAATCAACCAGCCAGATATCTGGAAAATGAAAATTCGCGGAAATGTTTCTTTAGAAACGCTGTTGAGGTTAAGTAACAGATGTGGCACCTGTCAATACAGTAAGTATCATTATTTACACTCAGAAGAGAAAAAGAGGGCACCACGTTATTTATGTTTGTTAAGCAGGTATCGCGCCATATTCTGTGTATCAAGTTATAGATGATAGTTTCTCATCGTGAGCGTTAGCGCCCGCGTTTATGCTCTGACAAGATCTAGAGGTGATTTTCTTATCCATGGAGCAGTAAAGGACGAGCACTGAAAGGATTACAACTAAGAACACTAAACACAACGCAATACAAACGAGAGCGAAGTCCACAAGGAGATCTCTCAATACACTGAATTAAAAACTGAGAATTGATACTTTTTCAGGTCTTATGCAGTTTTCCCCGGGTCGACGAGAATTTCTCGAAATTACTGGAAGGCATATACAGTTACGGTTACATATAGGACCGCATGCATTTTATACTAGTTACATATAGGGATCAGACCAGTTAACATTATACAGAAATTGGACCAAAACGTCGCCGCGACTTTTGGCGATCTCTCACCAAATGTGGTGATAAAAATTTGTGTCCTAAACTATTCGCTTATTTGGAGAGATAGCTATTTACTTCAATACTAAATGGACTTGCCCTTGTAACCTTATTTTTCTGACGGAGCTTCGATTTTTGAGGCATTTCATATTACAATACACGAGATATTAGAATTTTGCGTATAATTTCACTAAAATTATATATATATATATATATATATATATATATATAATTCGTAACAATATCATTATCGCCAGTGTACAAGAAGCTGAACAAACTCGATACTAAGCAAAATAAACCTCACACTAGGAGCAATGAAGCTGAGGAACGAATCGTCGCATACAGCATAATTTGGGTTATATTTGACGTCTGGCGCTGAAGGAAAATGTGAATAGTCCAGCAAATTCGAGCGAACAACTTTAAAATGCATTCTTATATAGAGCTTAATTTCTAAAATTAGAAGTGCTGGAGTATTGTGAAAGACCATCAGGAAAAATTAGCAACATTAAACAAATAAGAAATAAAATAAAATATAAAATATAACCAAAAATTAATAATACACAATAAATTAATGATGAACATTTAAATAATGACTTAAAATGCAGGAATTTATATGAGGCTCCAACTGGCATTACAGTTTTACTCAAAGATTGAGCTACTTGCTCAGTCTGAATTTAGTTTAAACATGATAATAATAGACACTAAACATTATAATAACACTAAATCAAAATATACGATTTGGCCGTCCAGACCTGAAATTGATTAGTGACTCTGCCTTACCGAAAGGCCCAGGTTTGAATCCTGAAAAGAGCATGGATGTAAACTGTCTGTCCCTTTATAGGAGGCAACGGTGGTCCACCTACTAGGTGCCTCCATTATAAAATGACCACCGCTTCCGGTTTTGGTAGTGATCAACACCTATAATAGCCCGCCATTGGATAAAAAAAATGTATCTTTTGGTGACGGTTAGGTTATTCGGATCCGGCAAAGCACATAAGTGTATCTACTTAAAGGAAGGGGCGCCTTCTTGAACTCGTGATTCCTAAAAAGACTGGCTCGTAAAACTATCCATGTTGTTATTCCGTTCACCAGGATTCAAAACTAGGTCGAATCCTGAAAAAGCTGAACAAATCAGGAAAGAATCCCTTAACAACAAATGTGTCTTTACACTGTGATAATAATTCTTAAAACTTTTAATTTAAACGAAGTATTGTTAAATCATAATTGCAAATATTATTTTACTTCGTAGAATACAAGTCTTCTTGAAACCTATATTTTTATTTTCTTTATCATAAAAGTTCCAATACTGACCATCTAACTCTCCATCTACGATGATGGGAAGAAAAAAACGGACTTATTTAGTCACATGATATGTGTTATGAATATTTTTGGGTTGGAAGTGATTCCCCGTAACGGAATTCGCTCTGCGTATTCCGTTACATAATGTAACCGCTCTGCGTATTCCGTTATATAATATAACTGCTCTGAGTTAAAATGTAAAAGTGGTTATATTTTTCTTTCATAAAAGATTTTTAAAAAATATGCTAGAAATTAACACTTTTTCGAAAAACCTACAATAATTCTTTTCCAGTGCACCTCATGTTTTTCATAATTTTGCAAAAGTTATCTATTGCTCTATCTTGAGTTGATATATGCTTTCCATAATCACTTTTAGAAGGAAATTAAAATACTTCCAGAATGTAACTATTTAAAATATGAAACCAGCTATTTACTTCTCTTATAAAATTTGCTAAATCGTAACATAATTTACGATCAGATTCAGACTTGCATATTTCTAATGCAGCTGGAGTTGTGTCTAAAAAGAATTGAGCTGTTAGCCGTGCATTTTGTTGCTGAGATTTTTCACATAATATGTGAGTTTCTATCAGTTTATAAACTTTGTATTCATCAGCATTAATTTAAAATAATTCCAAAAGTGGAGTTTTATTTATAACGGAGTATTAATTTAACACGAAACTCATATCTAAAAGCAGTAGCGAATAAGCTTTAAAAGATGCGGCGTTTTGTCTCGCTGTGACGTCAGACATCTAGACTTGATGCATGCGCTCTGTCTCAATTTCCGAACGCGCAAACCTTTTCACTTCACGGGCCTTGTATTAGCGCTAGAATCGGTGCAACGCATGTGACTGAAAAGGTGGCGGTAATTTTTTCGCTTTAGAATTTAGGAAGCCACTGGACGGCAGAATTTAGAAAATGTAGACACTGCACCTGGGAGCAAATTATCCAGCGTTAACACTGGATGGTGAGAGGATGAATCACCAACCTCGAAGAAACGGCAACGTTTGGAAACGCAGGCAATGTTGCCGCAGTTATTGAGTTACTGCACGCAGTTATTTCACGAGGTGTAATGTATCATGCATTTCTATTTCAAACGCAGATAATGGACTGCGACTTTTATGTTCAGGTACTTTCATACCAGGCAATTTTGCATCGTTAAACTTAGTTGTGGGCATCGGGGAAATGATCTTTTATTGCATCATAATGCAAGATCCTATACTGCTGCATCAGAATTAGTTTATGTTGGTCAAATAAAGTATCTCTGCTCTTCTTCATCCTCAATTTCGCTTGATTTCTCGCTGAAAGATGTCTTCCTCTTTTTGTATGGGAAAATTCGCTGAAAGGTTCGGCAATATGAAGACGTTACATCAACCCAAAAGATCGGGATATTTATATCGAGAACTATTCGAGGAGGGTACTGTCAATCTGCTCCTGGGACTGCAGACTGACGTGCAACTCGCTGAGCGTGCAGTCCCTTTGCTTACGTGAACCCTTATGTATTAAAGATTGTAGGTACTAGCTTCTGTATATTAATGAAAGAAAGGAGACTGTAGATATTCTGAGTCACCACTACGGAATAGGCCTGCTGTAAAATTCTTCTAAAATTCATTGTTTAGAGTTAAATGTCTTGGCGTTTCCTTTTCAGGCATAGAAACCGCGAGCCTTTGATCAATTACAGTAGAGTACACGAGTACGAACCGAAAAGTCAGCATTTCATTGCTTGACTATAGTAACCCAGTTCCTCAATCTCAAAACAATATATATCAATATTATAACAAAATCAAACCATGACCGATCTTCTTTTTAAAAGGTCTTCTTTGTTTCCATGTTTTTGAGGGGTTAAGCAGTTTCTTAATAGCGAAAAAGGATAACTTAATTTCACTGGAAAGAAATAGGTAATAACAATAATAAAAGAATTTAAATAAATTTTTATTCGGTGAAATAGTTATGGACTTTTGATATGTCCTGCAAAATAGCTTCATTACTATTAATTTCAAATTAATGGACTTTATACAGTATTAGTATTTTTCTGATTTATACAGTATTAGCCTTTTTTAAATGAGTCTGATTGTTCGCCGAGCATGCACAAATTTCGATTAGGATTACCTTCGTCAACTCTATGACAATAGTGCCCAGATTATACTATTTGTTTAAACGCTGAATTTTTCAAAGTTCGTATCTGAAATGTCTTATGTATCAAGAATTTTTCAACAGTACATTCAAAGGAAGTTTCTGTTTTTACACTCATAAAACAAACATTTTTACTTTTCCACATTCCTAAAGAGATGAGTTTAAAGACCTTTGAAATGAGAAAAATGACTTTGGTAACTGAAGACAGTTAAATAACTAAAGTTTTAAGATTATTCCGTACGTCAAAATTTCTGTTTATACATATTTATATAACAATAACAAGAAAAAAATAGCCAAAGTCAAAATATAAAATAAATTCAAAATACTAAATTTACTAAATTTAAAAGGCTCAAAAGGTTGCAGTAGTATAAAACAGTCAATAAAGATTTAAATTTGTCTGTTAATTAATTAATAAGCAATTAAAAATGAAAAATTCACGGTCAGCAAATTTAAATGTTTATTTACGTATTGATTAATAATAGAAACCTATTTTTTGCTCTGCAGCATTTGATCTTTTTTTTTTTTTTTTTTTGCTGCAGGCTGAAATTGTTATTTGAATTCAGCAACAGCCTTGATAGTCTTTGCAAAATTCGTTGTAAATGTTTATCTACGTATTTGGCTTTGACGTTTATTATTATTTGTTAGTCCAAATCTTAATATTCTTTACTTATGAAGAACAATAAAGTCTGGTGGACACCGGAACGTCAGTAGTGGTCTCTTTATAAACTCAGCAGAGCATGAAAATAAAACCGCAGCTTTCTCAAAACGGATGTGTATGTACATTCTTTAAATACTTTTCCTTATGGTCGTTTGCTAAAGTAAAAGTGGAAGAGATCCTTGCTCTTGCTGGTTCTATGACCGACATTTTTTTGACCTTGTTTCTCCTAACGACCGACAGAGGGCAGTAGTAAAGAAAGTGGTTTATTTCGTGTTGGCTACGCGGGAGACTGACATCATGATATTAAGCGATATTAATATACCAATTATTTTCGTAATAAACGAATTGTATTGCGTAAAATAAATTTTTAGATTTAGGTGAAAGTACCGGCTATGATACAGGAATGAAGATGGATGTAAAATTGAAAATTTTCACGTTAAATTGTTGGTAAGCTGTCTGTTTGTTTATAATGAAAGTCTGACAGGTGTTCACAAAGTTTTCGTATGTAAACAAAAATTATTTCACCATTTTAAAAGCTATATGAACTATAAATTCAAGTTTAATAGAACTAATGATTTAGCAATTAAAATATTTGGAAAGAATTTTAATATAAAGCACAGTATAATGAAGTACCGATATGCCATTGTAATAATCCACATGGACAACATTGTAATGTTTAATATCTGAAAAAAAAAAAAAAAAAAAAAAAAAAATCAATATTCAAAATATGGAATTGTGTTATGGATAAATTTACATTTCAAGGAGAAGAAATATAATTTATTAATCTTTTAATATAATTTGCGGTTACTCTGTTTCTGCCTCTTTGTAAAATTTTAAACCTAATTCTACTTTTAGAATAATATTGAATTTGTACAGTAACATGAAAACTGAGATTATATTTACATTTGTTACTTACAGACTTGTATTTGACATTTTTTTTTATATTACTATATTTCAATCCTGAGTATGAAATTTTATTAAATACAAGTACTGATAATCATTTATTTCAATCCTGAGTATCAAATTTCATTAAATGCAAGTATTGCATACTATATTTCAAGTATTAGTTATGTGTATGTTTCTAACAATATTAATGTGTAAAATTCATCTGTATTAAAATTAAGATATATACCTTCATCTTTCAGCAGGGGGGGGGGAGGCTATATAACTTAAAACAAGTAACAATTTACAAGTTACAAACAAAACAGAACAAGTTATATTATATATATATACTTGTATTTGACATTTTATTTTTTACATTACTTTATTTCAATCCTGAGTATGAAATTTTATTAAATACAAGTACTGATGAGCATTTATTTCAATCCTGAGTATCAAATTTCATTAAATGCAAATATTGATAAGCATATGGAAGTATTCCATACTATATTTCAAGTATTAGTTATGTGTATGTTATTAACAGTATTAATCTAATGTGTAAAAATTCATCTGTATTAAAATTAAGATATATACTTTCATCTTTCAGCAGAAAAAAAAAAAAAAAAAGCTTTAACTTAAAACAAATTAACAGTTTACAGAATTTGAAATCTTGGAATTTTTAAGTGTTACGAAGTGTAACATGTTAGATTTTCTTAATTTAAAAATTTTTCATGATAATAGCAAAATTACGTGTGTTGATAAATATATTTTGCATCATTTAATGTTGATTAATATCCTAATAGCTTAAACTGTCAGTTAGTTAAATAGTTAAATATGATTATATTGTCAAATTATTAGGACCAATGCAGTTTATTAATGCATTTAAATTTGAAAATGTAACTCTTTCACTTGAATGTAATATCCTCTTATGATTGATTTTATTGTATCAAGGCCTATATGAGTTCCACTGGGGTTGACTGGGGGTTATGCCTCCTTTGATCACCTCTATGAATTGGGGCATTATAACCATGTAAGGCAACTTAAATGTAAGCCAGGTCTCTAAGCCCCATCTCTCCAGTGTACTGTTTCAAGGCCTCTCATTTAATTTTTAATATTACTTTTGTGTCTTTGAGTATTGTTAAAATGCATTAATGATATTAAGCTGTGTATCTTGTATGCTGATGTAATATGTTAAATTTCAGACTTAATGGTAAATACAAGTTAATTGGAAAACTGTATTTTTCTTTCTTTTTTCAGTTGTAGGCATTAAAAATATTTCATATTATATAAAGAAAGATAAATGTGTTTTTTATCATTTATTGCTTGTGACAAAGTGGTATGGTATGTTTTTTAACATTGAAAGAAATATTATATAATGTGAAAATAAAGCTTTTTGTGCTTCTTCAATCGTATCATATATGTACCTTGTTTATTTGGGAGGAGCAAACAAGAGACTGCTAATTTAACTGTTGATTATTTTAACAGTTACTTCTTGAGTAAAATCTAGTGGCATTAAAAATGTTCTTGTAAAAAAAAAAAAAAAAAAAAAAAAAAAAAATTATCATCACATGTTTTTGTATAAGTGTGATTTTTCAGAATAATCATCAAAATAACTATGAATGCCATCCTGATATTACCACATATGTAATAAAATTAACCCTTTGAGTGGCATGATTTTTTGGGATCTGCTTATAAAAACTTGTATTTAAACAGCTATTATTAGCCAAATATGTATTATTTATTTTAATGTCTGTTTTCGTAAAATTCCATTCAATAAAATAATATTTACATATCAAAATAAGTAAAAAAGGGAAATATTTTAAATTATAAGCTAATATATACCAAATGACAAAAAATTTCATGACCAGAAAATCCACTTAGAGATTTAATATTTTTTAAGCAAACGGTGAGTAATACTGATTACCAAAACGAATTGACAGATAAAGTAAAATGTTGTTATCCCAGGATAAGGAGGTTTCAAAATATATCATTTTCTTATTAATCTGATTGAATTTTTTAAAAAGTTATCTATTATAGAATAATTATCCAAATTTTACTTTTGTGTTCTATTCATAACTTGTTTCCTGTGGTTTTTAATATATCACATAATGTAGAAACCACTAGGCATTTTATTTTGAAACAGGAAATGTGAAAAATGTGCAATGAGCACTCTGGGATTTGAACTCCAGACTTCTTGACCACCAGCCGAACATGCTTTCAAGTATACCACAAAGGTGCGTGCTAAGGAGCGAGAAAATACCTGTACCCTACTTATAACTGAGAGGGAGAAGACCCAGTTGCCAAATCCTGGTGGTGACAAATTGTTTTGCACCTTTTAGTTCAAGCAACACTTTAAAGATTATTAAGCACTTTATTTTGGGGGAGGAAATGTGAAAATTATGAAATTCCCTTGCCGGGATTTAAATTCCGGACCTTCTGACTGCCAGCCAGGTGTGCTTCCAGTTACACCTGAAGGCATGCATCAAGGAGGAAGGTACCTTACAGTAAAAACTGCCAAAGGAAATACATTAAACAAACTTTGGTTTGTGTAGCCAAGAATAATTTATATTACTAGAACTTTAAAATTCATATACCATATGTACTCAATAAGAATATAAAATTATAAAAATATAATTTTTTGCTGTGTTTTTGTTTTAAAATAGAGCATATTACTTGAATGCACTCTGTATATTGAGTATGTGTCAAAAGTTTGTTCAAGAAGAAAGAATCAAAATAGATCAAAAGTTCTAGACAGATGTAGCACAGGGGGTAGAAGAAAAAGTATTGCAGTAATAAGTTAAAAATTGCTTTTTGTTTGTATTATTAAGCTTTCAACAGTGCTTATTTATGTATTCAAGTTCATTATTTATTTATTTACTTATTTGATTATGCATATGAGAGTTATCTAACCAAGGAAAGGCATATTTACACGTATGGTTTCCTAATGGAAACTGGCTCATATTGACATTACACATGAAAAAAAACCATAAAAACACTCATGCAGCCAACTAGTATGTTGGGATTGAAGCTTCTGGTCTGTACAGTACTTTCTAATTATCTATATCTCCTTCCAAAACATGACTAACTCATTACTGGCTGATTTTCCACCAAGCTAATAAGTGAAAGGCAACAACTATTTTGAAAATAGCAGTGCACTAAGAATTCTCTTAAAGAGCAGTGATCAATAAAAATAAAAAAGGAAGGAATATCTGTAGTAAGACGCTTATCTTTTTGAGAGATTTTTTTATTTAATCCTTTTTTGCACCATTATTGCTGCCATGCTCCCACGCACACAACAATCTATTTTTTACTTATTGGAAAATATCGGAGAATTACATGAATTTGGCATTATGCATGCTACTGTTCTACCCAAGTATACAATGATCTATTTTCATTAAAAAAAATCAGAGAATGGTGCAAACTTGACATCACACACAAATTTCAATCCATAAAATTCAACCGTTTAAGAAATGTAGTTGTATGAGAATTTTTTCAATTTCCACTGTTGGGCAAAATGCCATGGTCTGAAGAAGTACAATGATTTCTTTTTCATTAGCTGGCAAACACCACAGTTCCATTATGACTCCTTACAAGAAAAAGAAAAATGTATTGGATGCAAAAACAGACACTAATTATAAAAATGAGTCATTAGTGGGCATACTGAAGGGAAACCTAGTTTAATTTTCTCAATCTAACATCGTTGCATACTGACTTTGAATTTTGACTACACCCATACTGAATCCAATTTTGTCACTCAAGAGCACTCTACCAATTATGTGTATGTTGTGGTGCAGTGACAAGACATTAGCGACAAACAGGCTGTCACTTGGGTTGATCTTTGGAATATGGTAACTGGTAGTTTGGCGACATTTTGGAGGCAATAAAGGTTACTACCTAGGACTTTGGTAATAATGTGAGAAGCACTCAGTTCCGATTACGCATTATTTTTGTGTGAGGGGAATGAGAGATCATGAGATATGTCATGTGACATTAATGGACGAATTACAGTTGTTTAATTGGAAAAGGGGAGAAATCTGGAAATGTCGTATTTAGCTATATTCTGTGTTGTGTAAAATGTGACATTAATGGACGAATTACAGTTCTTTAATCGGAAAAAGGGGTTAATTTGGAAAAGCTTCATTGTGTGTTGTGTGAAATAGTGTTGATTAATTTTTGGATTGCATGGCGCTATGTAAAGTGAATTGTAAATTTTTAATGTGTTTATCTGATAATAAGTTGAGATTGTGTGAAAGGAAGGATATTACAAGTTTAAATGGCAGTGCAAGAAATATGGTGAAAATGGACATTTTGTGAAAAGGGAGTGTAAGGAAGGGTACGTGGTTTGCTGAAAGTAGTTTGAGTATAGGTGAAATTTTTATTAATTTCTTATTACTTGGTGAATAGACTTCCAGTTGACTACTGGATTTAGGATTTAGAAATTAGCAGTAGTACTGCAGCGACGTAATGAAGATTCTGAAGAAGATTAGGTAAGTTAGTATTTTTAATCATTTGAGGATATTATTTTTATGCATTGTTCTAAATGTAAGGAGTAAATAAATTGAAATGGTATTATTTGAAAATTGTTATTAGCAATGATTTAGTTTAAAGTAATTAGGATTGTAATGTTAATGTATGTGCTTATTTATATTTGAAGTAGTGTTTTTTAATTTAATTATATTTTAATTTAATGATCGTGATTTTGTGAGTTATATGTTTGTAGTATTTTGGAATATGTTTGAGTAGTATACGTTGAGTGTTTTCATGCATTTTCGTGAAATTTTTCTAATTTATGAGAAAAAAGCAGTGTACATGGATATAGTGAAGAGTGTGCACAATGCCATTTTTCTGCAATTCTGGGATGTTTTTTTAAGTAAAAATAAGTCGATGTGTACATGGTTTAGTGATATTTTAATTAAATGATAGTTATTTTGTGAATTTTATGTTTGTAGGAATTTGGTATACGTTTTAGTTGAAGTAAACGTCCATGGAAATAATTTAAATATTTGACACTAAGTATTTGTAATGTTTGCGGTATGAATTCGTTGGTGACGTTTATAATATAATAGATAATTTAGAGGTAAAAGTTTTTAGATATTTTATTTATTTTATACGTGGAAATGTTCATATTTGGAAAGGGTATATACTTTTTCGCGATAAGGTAATTTCATATATGTTCTTTTTATCGGGTCTAAAGATTCAGAAAATTGTCATGCATTTTCGTGAAATTTTTCTAATTTATGAGAAAAAAGCAGTGTACATGGATATAGTGAGGAGTGTGCGCAGTGCCATTTTTGTGCAATTCTGGGATGTTTTTTTAAGTAAAAATAAGTCGACGTGTACATGGTTTATGTGTATGTGTTATTGTGAAAAACGCGCAAGGAGTTTGCGATTGTGCACTTTTTCCCAATTTTGCAGTGAATATTTGTCATGATTAAGCAGTTTGTTAGATAAAATTTCTAGTATAAGTGTAATTTGGCTAGTAGATTGTTGGAAAAAAGTGTTCAGTAAATAAAAAGAAAAGAAACATGTCTTTACTTCGTGAAGACAAAATGGCGGCGGGAAAAAAAAAAATAGAGGGTTGCTGTAGCAGAGTTGGTCGCCAAATTTTCGCCAAGAAATCGCCAAGTTACCGTAATCCAAAGATCAACTGTCACTTGTTCCTTGCTGGGTGCCAACAATCTGTGGGGTACCCATTTGCTCAACTTGTGCATCTTCATGTGGGATGCAAATGAAGTCGACTTTTCCTCAAAAATCATGAAACATTTGGCAAGATTACCATAGGCTTGACTTCTGTCCTCCTCTGTGACTGTCTTGCCATCCAGTACCTATATTTGTCCACTGGAAAAATAAAGGTTGAGATCTCCTGGCCTGAATTTCTGGAATCAAAGCCTGGTAGTACATTTACTTAAAACATCCTTTGCCATCCAATTGCCTGACGTATTCAATTGAATTGATATGGCTGCTGACAGGCACACTTCAAAGCTGCACAGCAAGTAACTATGAATGAGCTATTTAGATACTTTTATATCTTTTCAACACTGGATAAGCTAGGGTTGCTGTATGTATAAAATGTACTTATAATTAGTGCTGGTCAATGGTTACACTTACCCTCCATTGCCTTTCTGATGCATAGGTCATTTTGTTTAATTTTTGTGAACACTTCATCAAATGTGGTGTCAAAAACAGCAAGAATTTTTTTTTTTTTTTGGTTACCTTGTAGTTTTTTAATGAAATTTAAACTAAATTGGTTTTCTCTGCATATCTATGTAATAAACTTGATCTGTGTTTGTTAATATCAAACTTTATATGATTTATATTGTTATCTTTAAGGCACTTCATTTTCAGTATTTGAATATTTTTTTCATGCTTTATGTAGGGGCATTGTGGGGATAAGCAGGCACAGGAAACAGCGGATGGAAGCTATTGCATCTCACATCGCATCATCAAATTATGATTTTGTGTTTCTTCAGGAGGTATGCTTATAAATTTAATTCTTCAAAGTATTTTCTCAATTATTTCTCAATATGTTTTTCAAGTTTTTTTTTTTTTTTATAGGATTGGCCAAAACGTGTTTGGAAAAAAAAAAATAAAAGATTTTCAGAGTATACAGTACAAAGTCCAGAATGCGGACTTCTGAGATCTGAAATGATCTATAACCCAGCCCTCTGTATCACCAGCAATCATTTTTTTTGGATGGGGGGGGGTTTAATGCTTTCAAATTGATATTTTCCGTAATAAAATGCATAAAGAGACCCAATTCTTAATTTCACTTCAGCACTGATGCCAATGTGGCAAATCATTATTTATTATTATTATTATTATTATTATTATTTTTACTTTCATCACTGCATCAAAACACTGCAACTTGTGAAATGACTGGTGCAGTAATGTCTAACATTAAAAAAAAAATTAATATTAGTAATTGAATGCCAAAAAACATGGTAACCTTATGTTGACATTATGCTTTGTGATGATTAGACTTCAGCTAACTCCACTGTGAAGTGTGGAGTGTGTTGTTCACAAGGAGAAATTTAATATAAATTTTGGTACTTCTTTGTTATAGCGGTCCGTCGAGATTGAATGGCCAATCAACTGAGATATCTCGCCAAAATCTGGCTGCATGTTCTTATACGTTGCCACATGATCATGTATTAGCACTGGCTACGTGTTCTTATACCTCGCCTCGTAATCATATATCGGCACCGTGTTGCATTTTTGCTTTTGCTGCATGTTCTTATATTATTCATTTCTTATGAGGTTTTTGAATTCACATTGTTTATTTCAAAATATATTCATTGCTTTGTGTGTATGTGTGTGAACATGACATTAACTGTCCTTAATTTATCAAGTAATAAGATGGATAAATAAATGATACTCATAGGTTAAAAGATTACATTTAATGCTGTTTGAATGTAGAGTACCTGATTTATTAGTTAGCCTAGGACTGGTGCCAAAGCTGGTTTGGTTGTACTAGACAGCAGAATTTAGAGAGACATTTTTAGCATTTAGAGAAGCAGCAAGCAACAAAATAAAAATCTTCAGAATTTAGGGAAGCTATTGGGATGCAAAATTTAGTAGCATCAAAATTCTTAGAATTTAAGGAGGCTCTTAGCAGCAGAATTTCAGACCTACAGAAACTCATTGGGTTGCCAAATGTCAAATGCCAGCCATGTATAAGCTTTAAGTATATGTGGGAATTTATTTATTCGAAACTCAGATAAGTATGTGCAATAAATTTTTGTAAGTATAATAAATAACAAAAGTAATGTGATTCAGATTTAAGTTTGTCAGTGTGCAGTAGAAGCAAAACAGAATTTTGCGGAGCAACATGTCTTGGTAAAAATATATTTCAGGGTACCCTTTGGTGAAATTTGGTGCCATTCCTGTTTACATCCGATGCCTTCCCCTATAAAATGGTGTCCAAAACATGATTAAAACAAAACAAAAAAATAATGTCAATAAACTGCATTTTAAATCAAACAAGGAAATATTATAAGAATGGAAATACATGTTATCTAATCTACGCAGTACAAAAAGGAAATATGAAGTTACCTTATTTAAAAATTTCTGTTTCTTCGATATGTGCGACACACAGAATTCCTTAACAGCATCCAAAACTATTTAAAATTATCTAAACTAGAATCTGTATACTGCCATCACCACATAAATTTACAAAAAAGTATCCTCCGGACTGTCCATAGCATTTCTTTCGAAAATCTCTTCATTACACCCCATATACCTTCCATATCGTTGATAAGAGCTCCGGTTTCCAAATCCTTAAATCTTGCTGCGTAATTTACTGAGAGGTGAATGAAGCCATTTAAGTCTTCATTTGCACACCAATCAATCAATGTTTTCTTTCCCAATTGTTCCAAAGTGTACAGAAACTTCAGGTTAACTGTACAGTATAAAGTCCGAAATCCTGACGTCCATTATCCAGAATGATCTTTAATCTCGACCTGAAAACCATCAACAACGTTTTTCTTGTAAGCATGCACATTTGATTTCCCCTCTGTGCATAATAAAACATCTGGAGAGTCCTGATTCTTAATTTCACTTTGACACTAAATAAAATACTTTGTTATTGAAGAAACAACTATTTTAGCATAAATTTGTAAGATCAGTAATTTAGCTCCGTTGCTGTGTATCTGCTTGGCTCACATCTCAAACCGAAACATTCCACACAGATACATCATTGATCTGATGCCAACCTGGTGAATCATTATTTATTATACTTTCTTTTCATCGCTGCATGTTTATCAAAATATGACAACTTGAGTAATGACTTATGTACCGATGCCTAAATTTTTTTTATGTTAGTAATTGAATAATAAAGTAATATGGTAACCTCTAATGTTGACATTATGCTTGGCGATGATTACAGATTTAAGTTAAATGTACTAAAAGGTGTTGACGAGGAAAAATTTACCCAAAATTTCTTTCCATATGCCAAAAATAGATTTTTTTTATAGATACTTATAGACCCAAAAATTACATTTAAAGCTATTTGAATTGAGAATAACTGAATTGTTATTCACATAAACTCAGAACCAACGCCAGGGCTTGTATGGCCTTACCGAGTTGCAGAATTTAGGACCCACAGAGACTACATAAGGCGGTAAGATATCTATCACCGGCTCTTAATAAGGCTTAAGTATATGTGGGAATTTATTTATTCAGAACTCTGATAAGTCTTAAGCATGTGCAAGAAATAGACATAAGTACAATAAATAACTAAACTAATGCAATTCAGGCTTAATAGTCTCAGTGTGTGATAGAAGCAAGATAAAATTTCACTGAACAACTTGTCATTAGTCGCCAATCTCATTATAAATAGCGAAATATGTATAGTACAGAATAGCTAAATTTGATGATGATAGCCGCTAATTTTTAAGGCTTTCGGATATCACAAAACAAAGGTGAAATTTTCCAATTAGCGGATTTTGTAAAGAAATGTGGAGAAACGGTAATAAATGAAGATGATATAAAAGAAGTTTTTCGTTGTGAATACAATGCTTCTCAATCATCAATTAATTAATGAATGGCGAAATCTGGAGTATGGCTCTAGATCCAGAAAATGCCACTACCGATAGTGAAGAAAGTGACAGAGAAGTTACTAAAAACAAGAAAATTTCGATTGACAAGTTAATCGGAATTCTCGAAACATCAGTTACAGAATTTCAACAATGTAACTGAACAAGAGATTATGGCTGTCTACAGAATTAAAGAGAAAGTATTAGCACAAAAAAAGAAGCAACTTAAACAACTTACATTGAAAGAAATGTGTAATAAGGTAAACAAATAAATATTAAGCTTTTTTTTTTTTTTTGTAAATTTTGATACCCTATCATAAATACTTCATTATTTCATAAATCACTTCATATTTTTAATTTTATGATTTCTACATGCCATCTTACTAGATTTAAACTGATGATCTAATATCTGGAAAAATCTCAAATTCGGAATCGCCAAACTCCCCACGAGTCCAGATTTCGGTCTTTGTACTGTACCACCAGCAGGCATTTTATGGTGTAAAGTAGAAAACAAGCAATGTACTTCCTAACCAAAATCCAACTCATATATAAATTCTTACAAATATTTTCTCAGCAATCAAAATCACATCAATCATGCATTACAACCAATCACATCATAACAGGGTTTCCATAACATTCAACTACTCAGGTTATCATAAATGAAAAAACAACTTGGTGATAATCCAAGGGGTACCCTAAACTATAAACTAACCCATGCCTTTAGTTGTCAATCTCATGATACATTACCATTAGTGTATATTGGATGCTAGCTAAGCTTTCTGATGATGCCAGGTAATTTGATAGCTTTCAGATATTACAAATAAAAAGCAAAATTTTCCAGTAAATGCAATTTGTGAAGAAATGTGGAAAAGAAGTAATAAATGAAGTTGTGATAACAGAAGTTTTCATTACGATGACAGTGCCCCAGTCATCAATCAATTAACGGATGGTGAAATTCGTGGTATGACTGTAAATGCAGAAAATATCGCTGCAGATATTATAGATAGAGGTGATAGAGGTTGATAGAAAAATTTCGATTGACAATTTAGTGGGAATTTTCAATGTGACAATAACAGGATTTGAACAATGGAATTTTATAACTGAATGAGAAATTATGTCTCTTTATAAAATTAAATGGAAAATATTAGCACAAAAAAACAAAGCAAATTAAACAACTTTCATGGGGGGAATTTTAATAAAACAAATAAATATGAATTTTTTTAACATTTTGATTCCTTTGTCACAGATGCTTCATTATTTCATAAATAAGTATTTCATATTTTTCATTTTATAATTTCAACATATCTTACTAGATTTAAACGGATGATCTAATGTCCAGAAAAATCTGAAATCCAGAATCACTGAAGTCTCGATGAGTCCAGATCTCAAACTTGTATTGTATTTTCTTTTGTAAAGAGTTTCTCCAAAAATATTTTTTGTTAATCTGCGGATTATGGTAACTAAAATTTGGTGACCAATCCTGCTACAGCAACCTGCTAGTTTTTTTTTTTTTTTTGGATGTGATTTTGTTTTCACGAAGTAAAGGCATTTTTTTTTTTTTTAACTCGGCATTTTTTTCCAAAATCTGCTAGCCGAATTACGCTTATGCTAGAACTTTTCTTGAACAAAAGGGCTTAATCATGACAAAGATTAGGTGCGAAATTGGGTGCAGAATCGCCCACTGCTTACCGCGTCTTTAAGAATCGCACATACATGGTATCATCCGTATACATGCCAACCTTTTTCACTTAAAAAAAATCCCAGAATTGCACAAAAATGGCATTGCGCACACTCTTGACTTTATCCATGTACACTGCTAAAGTCCTAGCTAGTAACCTTTATCGCCTTACCAAAATGTCGCCAAACTACCTGTTACCATATTCGGAAGATTAGCCAGTCGCCAAACTACCTGTTACCATATTCCAAAGATTAGCCAGTCGCCAAACTACCTGTTACTATATTCCAAAGATTAGCCATATTTTTTTTTTTTTTTTTTTTTTGGTAACTGTAAGGTTGAAGATGTGTCTAAGTGAATTCTGCTTTAAATTATTATACTATAGGTTTTGATTCGGTATTAATCATGTTTTCTGTTTTCATTACTTATTACCCTCAATAATTTGAAAGTTAATGAGCGCATCTGAAAGACAGTATATAATTCGGTCCTGATAACAGAACAGTACCTATTGTTTTTATATTTTAATACTTTAGGTATGGAATGACAAAGACTTCCAATTAATATGCAAGAAAGCTGCTGCTGTTCTTCCCTTTTCACATTATTTTCATAGGTAAGTTCAACATATATATATTTTTTGATTGATTTTGCTGTGTAAGAAAAAACTATTTTTTTGTTTTGTTTCTGAAGTTGTAAAATATATGAGAGATCTAAAATTTGTCTTTGTGTTGATTTTTGTACTCTAAGCTGAATTTAAAGAATACATATCTTTCAAATGTTCATGAGAATATTTTCTTTTACAAAGTTTCTCTTAGAATATGCAGTTCTTTGACTTATTATTTTGGCTTGCATAATGGTGAATTTTGTGCCAAAAATGGCTGCTACACAAAGCCAAAATAACAGCACAAAGAATTGCACAAACTTGGTATCCATGTACACATCGACCTATTTTCACTTAAAAACAAATTACCAAATTGCACAAAAATTGCATTTAGCACTCTCTTGACTTTATCCATGTACACGTCGACCTACTTTCACTTAAAAAAATATCCCCATTGCACAAAAATGGCATTGCGCACTCTTTTAACTTTATCCATGTACATGTCGACCTATTTGCCTTGCAAAAAAAATCCCAGAATTGCACAAACTTGCATTGCGCACTCCCTTTACTTTGTCCATGTACCTATCGATATATTTTCAATTAAAAAGTCAAAGGTGCACCAAATTCTACAATATAGGCAAACAAAAAATACATAATCTCAATAAAATACATTTTAAACCAAATAATAAAATAACAAAAAAGGAAAAACATGTTATACATTTAAGCACTACCAAAAGCAAATATTCACTTACCATGATTTTCGAGTTTGCTTCGTACACTCAGAGCCACGTAAAAATGAAAATATCAATCATACTTATATGACTTTTTTCAAACAAGGTACTCTTTCTGATTGAACGCTTCACATAGTGACCATCTGAACCTTTCTTCCTACAAACCCATTCAAATCCATCTAAAACGGCTTTTCCATTCGACTAGACGCTTATCTTTCCTACGTACAGGACACTTATAATGGCTACTAAGTAAACCTTCATTTACACACCAGTCAATTAAAGCTCTTTTCCCCTTTTGCTGCAAATCGTACAGAAACTTCAAATTAATCTTGCTACATTCGACCATTGTACTGTCTAAAGAATCAAACCAACACACACCACAAAAACGTTTACAAAACATCCCATGATTCAACAGGGTTCATAGCGGTCCTTATAAGTGCTTATAAGTCCTTATATTTGAAAATAAAATATAAAGGCCCTTATAGGTGCTTACTTTTTCTTTAAAGCCCTTATTTTTTTGTTTTTAGTGCTTATTTTTTTGCTTTTAGTGCTTTTTTTTTTTTTTTTAATGAACGCGTTATTTTTCCCTGTACCAAAGCCAAAAGTTAATAAACAACTTTTCTTCCTAATATGGAATGTCGGATGGTGAGTCATACTCCCGGAAATAGCTTTTCCCCTTTTCTTTGCATTAGCATAACCTTTGGTGTGCACGAAGAGTACAGACAGGTGCCCATCGCTCTATTGGTCAAAGAATTGCGAAAGCAGTAGAAAATTCTGCTACATTCGGCATTCTTTTCCTCCCACCCAAATACTACACACGTTTGAATTTCTATCAAGATCTTAAAAAATTTGCATTCTCGTTCTGCTTGGTCAGTTCATAGTCGTGTTATTATGATCGTTATGCTTATATTATGAGCATATGTATGAATGTTTATAATAACATAGTTGCAGTAACTGCTGAAGTATAGTAAACTTCCAAAAATGGTTGTGTTTTAACACAGATTAGCTTTCTAAGGAATAATATTCGGAATGGCTTAAATAAAGGGAAAGTAATTGAATAGTCAAAATAATTTCATTTTTTTGGCCAGTATATTATACAGTACGAAGGTTGGGAGGTCTTCCCTTTCTCCATAAAATCTTGAATATTGAAACTGTTATAGTTCGCTGCAAAACATGCAACGGATTTTTTTTGGGGGGTCACCTTCCAATCTGGATTGAATAGGACTAAAAGTTCTGCGGTCTACCAACCTAAGCGAAGAATGATTCTATTCCAGGAAATTTAACGCCGTCTGTTGAAAATTAGAATGAAAAACACCCCAGTTATTTAGTTCTTTATTCTCTCAATACCAGCAGTTGTTGATTCCGATTGTGTAATATCACGTAGGGAAGAATTACGGCGCACATATTGCGCAATAACGTTTGTGATATTTTGCAGAGATAATTAGTTTTGATGTTCATTCCGAGATATGTTTATGAACACTTAAAAGAGTTATACTGTGCTTGCTAAGCAGAATATTTTTTAGTTCCGTTGGTTTATTTTTATATGATGCACATATTGAAATGTCAAAAGCATTTATTTAGCAGAAAAATCTAAAGAGCGGCTACAGTCTACCCTCCCCTCCCCCTCCGCTCCTTCAAGTTACGCTCGACTGTCCGAATATTCGTCAATTTCCAAGTAAGCGGGTTAGTTAAGATTTTACTGTTAAAGATGACTGCATGAAGCAAATTTCTGTCTTCTGATTTCAGAAATGTTCCTCTTTTTTACTTAAATTACGTTGCTTGCAATATCTGTTAAAAGAAAACTGATATACAATGAAAATTTAGAAAATGTTTAGAATTTAGATTTAAATTATTTAAATATCAATATAAGTGGAAAAATAAATTGTATTTGTTATTAGGTTCCAAGCAAATACAATAAATATGCCTTATTATTGCTTATTTTTTCTATTTTGAACTGAAATTTCATCATTAAATCTTGTAATATAGTTTAGTTCTTCATAGTTTTTTTTTCCTCTTATTGTAAACTAGTTCTGTAAATTTAAGTATTATTTATAATTAAAAACAAGAAAAATTAATTATTTTCCATGGTTGAGGTAATGCTTATTCTCTCTTAATAAGTACATCATTTCTCATAATTTAAATTACAAGTCTAATTTTTAAGGTTATGCAGTTGTGTATGATGTAATTAGACAGGTGCTTATTTTTTTTTTAAATGTGCTTGAAAAGTGCTTATAGGTACTTATTTTTTTAATTAAAATGTGGCTATGAACCCTGTTCAGAATTTCTCAGAATCATGCACCCGATTACGTCAGAATAGGTTTCCATAACATTCAACTGTTCAGGCTACCATAAATGAAACAACAACTTGGCGATAAATCAAACAAAAACTTGCCGATAAATCAAACATCTTCACCATAATACAAGGGGTGCCTTAAAGTCTACTCTTCTACTCTATTCGTTTTCGCTTATACACAGTGATAGCTTTTTGCTTAAAAATAATCCAATAATCACACAAATTTGGTATCATGCACACAGGGGCGTAGCTAGAGGGGGGCAAGGGGGGCATCTGTCCCCGGGTGCAGAATCCAAGGGGCGCCAAACTGATGTTACGACAGTTTTAGAATTAAATGTTTTCCATCCTTGGCAAGCAGTAGGGGGCACGAAACCTTCAGTTGTCCCTGGGCGCTATGACTAACCCTAGCTATGACTCTGCATGCACAGATTTTGATCCATAAAATGTGATTATTTGTGAAATACAACATCATAGAATTTGAATTTTTGCATTCTGTATTGTTAGAAGAAATGCAACACTTTCTTTTTCATCAACCAGCAAACTGCGTAGTCCCATTGCGAGTCCTTACAAATAGTACAATGCAACAAAAACAAACACTAATAAAAAATCGCCATCCAATTTGAAGGTGGAAATCGTGTCTTGATTGCTGCGTGTGTGCATAGTAGTAGTAAACTGTATATTAATTCATAAAAGTCAAGTTGAAAACTTAACAACATTTACTTTCCTTCATGCACAATAATGCCACTTAAATGGGCAAAGAAGGAGTAAGGATTAAGATTAATAATTGACAGCCATTTTGATCGGGCAGAGGAAAGGAGACTCGGTGTGGACCGAGTGCATGCCTATTGCTTACTGATTAGTACTGGGCTCTCACCACTGACCTTATGTGACACTGCAAACGTTAAGCCAGTACAAATAGACAGAAATATTCTAACCGAGATGGAACACCTGGGTTACCTCATAAATACATAAATGCATTTGGCAGTGCCATAAGTTGCCTGTTGTACTGATGTAGCATGTTGTTTTGTGTACTTTTCAAGGGACTGTAGATAATCGGAAAGTACCAACATTTTTTAATTTACCTGTGGCTTATTTTCTTTCTTTCATAAACATATTCAATTTTGTTAAAAATGTGTAGTTGAAATTTAATAAAATTCTTAGGTTTGTTTTCATAATTCATAGAATAAGCTTTCCATTATAATTCAATGAAGTTTTTCACATGATCATCCAAATAGTTTCCAACTGAGAGAATTTGTGTTTAAAATGTGGGTTTATTTAGATGATGCTCAGTGCTAAAATATACTGTATTTTCTGCATATATTGCTAACTGTATTGAGATAAATTTGAATTTTGAGCATTTTTAAAAGCACTGTAATGGAGCATGTGCATGGATTTTCACTTTCAGCATGAAAGCTTGGAAAAATCAACGAATCTGTGTGTATAATGTTAAAATGTTACAGAGCACATCTGTACAAAAGATCTACATTTATTTCTCATTGTGGAAATTCGAATGATGCTGATGAAGAAATTGTCTTGAATAATATATTTGCAGTCAGTTTGCATTAAGATTAATTTTATGATCTATTTTGTCTTTAGCAATTAATTTAAAGAACAGACTGTCAACTGTAAATCAAATCACATCATCATCTGTTTTAAAGCTGGTAGATGAAACTAAATTTAATACCTTCCAAGATGTTAAAGTCTAGTTCATCCTGAATGCTATACAATGAGCTTTTATGAAATGCAAGTTATCTTTTTTGAAATGCAAGTTATCTGCCATATCTCAACCAAAGATCATTCTTTCAGATATAATTTCAAATTATTTCATTCCCTGATCTAAAGAATTTAAAAAGAGGCTTAAAAAATTTGAGAAATGTTAAGAATTGTTTGTCGCTATTAGAAAATCCCTGACCTGTAGAAATAACAGAACTAGTTGTATTGAGATATGATTATGCAGCTCTATTTGACAGATTCATCAAGCTAAGAAAGATATGAATTTTAACCCTCTCGCTGCATATTAACCCTTTCGCAATGTCGCGGCGCGCAATGAACTGGAAGTTGATCTGTCAGCACTATCCTTATCTTCAGAGCAGATTTTTTTATTTTATTCGGCTTATAATTCCTTAATAAATGCAGTATTTCATCTCGACATACTCCATCTTTGATATGATTTAAATCAAATTCCTCGTCATTATAAATATCATGAATTCACATCAAATAGTTTTCTGGTTGCAATTTTCTAATTTCGACTATGCATAATGTGTGCTTTACGCATGCACGCTTTGAAAGAAATGTTTAATAAAGTAAACAAATAAATATTAAGCTTTTTTTTTTTGTAAATTTTGATACCTTTTAGATCATAATTGCTCTTTATTTCATAAATTATGGTTTCATATTTTAAATTTTATATTTTCTGCATGCCATCTTACCAGATTTAAATTGATGATCTATAATCCGGAAAAACCAATAACCCGGAATCACCAAAGTCCCAATAAGTCCGGATTAAAGACTTTTGACTGTATATATATATATATATATACTGTGCATGTTGAAAGTTTGAAGGCTTTTGTGAAAGTGCAGAAATCAAATATAAAAGAATTATTGGTTACAGCAAAACGTGATGGCTAGCTCTTTTAACAGTTTTAGAAAATATTTTAAAAATATACAAACCACTAAAATCATACTTTTTATCACAAGATAATCTTTTAATACTTTTTATCACAGAATCATACTTTTTATCACTAGTCCAAGAATATTGCAGCTCTTTTTTGAAAATGACACATCACAAATTTGGCTTCAGTTCATTCACAACCAAGCTACATTATTTCACAATGCTGTGAAAATTATTGAATGGGACAAAATTTCAATTATGGAAGTGGCAAATGAAATCAATAATTTAAAAATGAAATTGCGAGAATTGATAACGATTACGTTCCTTTAGTTATTCGAAAGGACATCACTAGGTTGGAAGACAAGGTGCCAATAAACGACCTGATTTTCTGAAAGAAGTCAGAAAATTTTATAATAACTGCTTGGAATATCTTGAAGAACGGACAGTTCAATTCGAAGATACTAAAAATTTTCATTGAGTGACATTAAAAAAGGAAATTTTATGGGCATATGTGGAAAAATCTTTTTAATATATTAGTAACCATTTTCCGAAAAATAATATTTGCGAAAATGATCTTTTTGATGAGATGTCATTGGTAAAAAGATATGATACTGAAGAAAAAATTAAATGTTGGTTGTCTGCAAATGTGGGCACAGACAAAAAATGCACGGAGTTATTCCTTCATTTTAAACATAATAATATTCCTTATGAAAATAATTTGAAAACTGTAGAACACTCACTTTCCCTTCCAGGAACAAATGCAGCAACATAATGTGTTTTTTCGAGTATCAATAAAATATGGACAATTGAAAAAACACAGTTGAACATTAAATCTTTAAAATCTGTCTTAAGCGTAAAATATAATTTGACCAATTCATGTGAGAAATTTCAAAACATTTTAATAAATGATCCGAATCTATTGCAAAATATTCACTCGGATAAACAGATATGACTATGAAAGAAAATCATAATTTTTTAAATAAAATTTTTAATTAATTAAAAAACATATGCAAATTATAGTTTTTTACAAATATTTTTATAGTTACCAATAGTTAATAATAAATATATTTTTGTATATTTATAGACAAATAAATGAATGTATAAGATAAAATATATTATTTTGAATTATTGGTCTGCTTTCAGAACTAAATTACAATTTTCATTTCATTCCATTTGTCTCGCTTTGTCTCAATGAAAATGCGGTCTCTTTAGCATACATTCATAGTTAGTTGATAGTTGATGGGGGACGTGTGCACCATCCCTTTACCGTAATGGTTAATTGGCATATGCAACCCGTCCACCTCTATCTTGAGCTAGATGGGCCACACAGGTGCTTTGCACCATACATCGAAACCCAGCGACCAGGTCATCCAGGTGGCAGTCCAAAAGACCAAAGAAGCCCCCAGAAGCATGTTCACACCAACCGCCCGTCCTAGTATTTATTGAGTCAAAGTTCAACAAATACATGGCCAGACAAGGGCTCAAAAAATAGAATAAATAGATAAATAAAGGGTACATTTGTAGTTTTGACAAAGCATAAGATTACAAAGGTGCAAGTGCAAGTTTTGAATAAATACTATAATCACATAGACATAATTAGAACAAAACACATACAGATAGCAATAACAATAGAAAACCAAAGGAGTAAACACCACTACAAATCATTCTGAATTCAGTCCCAATATAACAGAGCAGTACCTTAATTTTTATACAGTGGTGCTATGAAATATGGTATATTATGTTGTGGCCCATGTAATGCAGCGAACGTATGAGCGTTGCTCAGCAGAATAAAAAGTTGAGTCTTGTTGGTCTGATTCTGCCAATAGAGGCAAGATTTTATTATTCCTTTAAAAATAGCCACCTTCATCAGATTTCTAAATTATACATCTTAATAAATGTATTTGATTTGAGATTTATGTGAAGTTCAGATGAAGAATAAATAAACCTGTGCACTGTTTCTTTTACATATATTTACTTTTCTTATTCTCAGACTTATTATTTATAAACGTATCATAGAAACATTCAAACAATTGAGTGGAAAGAAATTTTGTGTTGAATTATATTGAAAATCTAGAATATATTAAAGTGTAGTAAGCATTTTGCATTTCTTAGAAACTGGTCAGACCTATCATTACCGCAACATTTAGTGGTAGTTAAAATGAAATTATTTTTGATGTTTTAGTATATTGTATATGTTTGTATATGATACTAGTTATTTCTGAAACAAGTACTATAACTTAAAATGATTCTGCTCTTGCAATCTTCTAAACAGTACTTTATGCAATTAATGTGCCTTTTTTGTACAGCAGTTATTGTGCATTAGAGACAGTATAAGTATAGTTAATCTAAGAAAGATTTAAAATATATAGATGAGAATATCTTGCGCAGAGTACATGTTATTTTACATGCAAAGCTAGATGTATGCTGTTTTTTAAGTAATGCAGCACAGAGTGGATTACTGTCAGTTGGAAACAATTTTTTCTTCCGTTATATTAATATAAACAATAATTGGATGTCTAGATCTAATGATCTTAATGACTTAGATATTTTCTGTCACTTTTCCTATCCATTTCCCTACCCAAATGCAAATTTAGTTTCAGAATATTTATGCTGAGGATTTTGGACTGTAAGTCAGAGCATGTTTCTGTTTCTTTAAGTCATGTTACTAGGTTTCGCTAGCTTTGATAGATGAGAATTCCTTGGCTTTGCATTATATTTGCTGACATTTATATTTTTATGCTGGTGAGAAGTTTGAGCCAACTTCACATTAAATAAATTGTGTTCTACTAGACTTAGTTTTAATTCTTAATTTAAATCTTGAATTTGACTGGCTACTTTAAATCACTTCGCCACAAGTGGTGCCTGAGCTTGCCAAGCATAAGTCATGCATTTATGCTAACCCTCTCAGTGTTATTGATGGAAAATTCCACATAGAAGGCTGGCTTTCTTATTCATTTCACAGAAAATTTCTGCCAGCTTTTAATGTATCTAATTTCAATTTGGGTGTATATTGGAAGTAAAGGAATCAAGGTACAAAGTGAAAGAACCATTTTTTATATATAATTAAGAAAATACAATTTATTCAGGATATTCTGAGGAACTTTTGAAATTTCAGAGTTAAACTCATAATGCTTGGAGGGTTAAAGCTCTGATTTATTTTAAAAACCTCCATAAAACTTTGTCATTCTTTTCAGAAGAAACAATAATTCAAAGTCTGTTTGGACTTTGTTTATGCTACCAAAGAAGAGTAAACTCTGTAACAGAACCTGCTTCTTCAGCTGCAAAAATGTAAATGATAAAAGAGCCTGCAAGTTTATAAATATTATGTTGATTCTTGCTTCTTTAGCTCCTCTAGTAATTGTTATTTGGCAAGTTATTTTAATACAAAGTAATACAGTTGAGGGTTTATGTTTAGAAATAATTGAACATATTGAGACCTTAATTATAGTTTAATTAATCAGTATAAATAAAATTTTATGTTCTTATTTATTAATTTCAATAATACCTTCTTTCTCTACAAGTTTTGAACTCTGCTTTCTGTATAATGTTCAGTGTTCTGTTGTATATGTAATTAAAGTTTTATAAATTAATTAAAGAGAAATTTTGTATTTTATTGTAAAGTAAATTTTAGTTTTAATTGTAACTGCTTTTTTAAAATCTGCTTTCACAGTGGTGTGCTTGGCAGTGGTGTTTGTATACTTTCCAAAAATTGCATTGTTGATGTTGCACAGTTTCAGTATGCTCTGAATGGATATGCTCATAAAATTCTCCATGGGGACTGGTATGGAGGCAAGGTTGTAGGATTATGCAAGGTCATTCATCATGGTTTGAAAATAAATTTGTATGTAACTCATGTAAGTTATAAATTTAACTTCCTGTTTGCTATATCTATATATGTGCAGTATGATTTTAAAATCATAAATTTTCTAAATCATCATGTATATATGAACATATGCAAAAAGTTTAGAGTTTAATTCATTAAAAACTGAGTTATGTGGTGTTTGAGAGGAGAGACTATATTACTGTTTAACTTTTTGCATATATTATTTTCATATATTTATTTATTTGCTTATTTGGTTCTTGGATTATAAGTATAGAGAACATCTCTCTCACAAAACTTTTCCAATCAATGATTGTAATTTTGAAAAAAATTGAGCCGTTTCTCCCACCATTTAATCAGTGTCAGTTCCCTGCCTAATTATAAATAAATCATAACACTCTACAAATGATATTCTGGAGCAACTATGTAGACATTAGGTATTTTTGGAAGCAGGCAAGATGAAAAATTAGCAACGCTTTCGCCGGGATTCGAACTGCGGACTTCTGGAATACCGGCCCAGTGTGCAGAACCACTACACAATGAAGGCACGCTAGGATAGCGGGAGAAATACCTTATAACTAAACCAACAGTAAGAATGTATTTTTTCTTTTGCTTGCAATTTTTTACACTGCACATCCAAAAGCTTTCATTTATATAGTTTCATTTCATAATCAATTTTGCATGTTCGATTGTAAGGTAAAATACCTCACTCTGGGAAGAATGATGTAGCATCTTCCTCAGTTGTTGATAAACCAAAAATTATTAACATTTATAAAATGGAGGAAAATTCATTAAAATGTAGTGCGCTAATTGCTATCTTCTTGAATCATCTTAATTCAAAAGTTGTTGAAACATTTAAAAAAAAAAAAAAAAAAAAGAATGACTCATTAATGGGTGGCCTGCTTTTGTAGCTTTTCTCATGATTAATGAACTAATCAGGAGATTGTTATTAGTGTAAACATCAGTTCAATTTTCAGAAATAAGAATGATAAATAATGGGTAATACAACAGATTTATCGAAATTGCATTGAAAATTAAACCACTTCATGCAGAACAGTAATTGTCTTATAGAATTGTAATGCATATCTTAAAATTAATTCAAAACTGCTTTGCTCTTATCTTTTTTTTATATGCAATCAAAATATGCAATCAAAAGTTTACCTCCGTGATGAGTGCATGCAAGATGCAGATTTAAACAGTTTATAGTTACTCTTGACAGTGTTTAATCCTTTGCGGCACACTATACGTTAACGTGGGAATTTCAACAAAAAAAGTTGCATGCAGTCTATTTAGTCCTAAAGGAGTATACAGGTACAATTTTGTAAAAATTGCACTTACCGTTTTAATTCTGTGGGTGTTCCATGAGGTGAAACACTGCGCCGCCAAAGCTTTTAAAAGTGCGACAAAGCGAGCATTGCAGTGAAGCATGAAAATGAGTAGAAAGAAGCGTTTGTATATAAATGAAAAACTCTGTATTATGGCTGTATACATGGTTTCCTGGATATGCACAATATTCTTAAATATATTGCATCATGAAAGAATATGATGCCTTTCATGATATTTTTCATCGATAAATGAGATAAATATCCATACACACAAATTTCCCTATTTCTTAGCTTCGTGAAATTGTTCAAAGCAAGTCACACCTTTTTGATGGAAGCACAAACCAACTACAATTAAAATAATTAACTACGATTAATATTAACAATACAGAAAAATAAGCCTATAATATATACATACACGAAAAATATCTACACAATTATTGAAAATAAACGGGAATGAGACTAAAAAGCGACAGCAAAAAATTCGCGCAGGTCTAAGTAAAGATGAGTCAAGCTACTAATAAAATTCCCGCCTAAAAAACTACTCCCAAAAAATTCGAGATGCCAATATTAGGGCTTTCATAACACAAAACACACCTCACTCTTCAATACTGCTTTGTTTGAATTCATTCCCCCCCCCAAAAAAAAACAACGGAAACAGAAAACGTAAACAACGGATGTTTTCTCTTAAGCACAGATGTTCTGATTCGTAACAGCATGAGATCGCTAAAGGCGCAATGTTCCCGCTAATGGAACACCCGGTTTTATTCAAGATTCTGCTTATGGTTTTTGTATGAAAGATTAAAAAAAATATAGAACAAATAATTTGGAGTACAGGCAGCAAAATTATGCGTAATTTTTTTTCCAAATAAAAATTTTTATATCATTAAAAAAATAGAGAAAATTACTTGAAAAAAAGTGGATTTTAATAACACATAATACAGTCAAAAGTCGTTAATTCAGACACCCATAATCCGGAATGATCTATAATCCGGACCTCAAAGCTACAAACTTTCTGCGCAAGCGTCGCGTTGATGCTAAGACCTTTACGGCTGCGAATATGCGTGTGCGCAAGCGCATAATACATTTACGCATGCATGTTTACTTTATAACGGATGGTATAAGCTAAGCTAAAATTATCTAATTCAGTTAATGTTGCAGATTGCGTTGTTCCTTAATCTTCGAATTGGATCCGGCTTATTATTTTTTGCAGACTGTTAGAGCAATTTTATAAAAGTAAGCTTGAACTTTAGATTATGTCAAATAGAATTTCCGATATATATTTACTAATGTGTAAAGGATCTACAAAGCGAAAGTATGTTTTGAAATCCGAAATCTGTTTATCAATTTCACGCTGCTCTGTGGCAGGGGGGGGGAGAAACGCCGCGGCTCCCAATATGAATTGGAAGTTGATCTGTCAGCACTCTCCTTATCTTCAGGGCAGATGTTTTTATTTTATTTGGCTCATAATTCCTTACTAAGTGTAGTATTTCATCTCAATGTGTCTTTGATATGATTTAAATCAAGTTTCTCGTCATTATAATTCGCTTCCAATAGTGAAGAAAGTGACCCACAGGTTAGTGAAAACGAAAACATTTCGATTGACAAATTAGTCGGCATTCTCAACACAGCAATTATAGGACTTGAACAGCGGAACTTTGTAACTGAACAAGAAATTATGTCTGTTTATAGAATTAAAGAGAAAGTATTATCACATAAAAAACGAAGCAACTTAAACAACTTACATTGAAAGAAATGTTTAATAAAGTAAACAAATAAATATTAAACCTTTTCTTTTTGTAAATTTTGATACCCTTTAGATCATAATTCTTTATTTCATAAATTACGGTTTCATATTTTTAATTTTGTAATTTCTGCATGCCATCTTACCAGATTTAAACTGATGATCTATAATACGAAAAAATCGATAATTCGGAATCGCCGAAGTCCCGACGAGCCCGGATTAACGACTTTTGACTGTAAATGAAAATTCTGTGTCTCCTTGTGATATGCTGCTATCTACTGTTTAAAAAGTAAAGTTCAAAGTATATTATAAAGGCATTTTTATCTATTTACGGTTGAATTTAAAGGTTTCAGAAGCGATTCAATTTTGATGTTCCATGTAGTGGAACACTGAGCCACAAAGTGTTAAAACCCAGGGCCGTAAAAATAGGAAAGGGCCAGAAAAAGAAATGTAGCAACAACAAATATATATAGAGAGAATCACAATTTTATATTTAAAATAAAATTATCCCTAGTTATTTCTGTTCAAAGTGCTGTGAAAATTAATCAGTAAAGACAAAAGGTAAGAAATTTAGAATTGTGAAGGGCTCGTTTTTGATAGGGTCATAGAAGAGTCCTGTATTGTAACAAGTATTTATTAACAGGTTTAAGTTACACACGGACATTACATTTAACTTTAAGAAAAATTACAGAGCAAAAGTCTGGTACAACCTATCAAGTGGGAGCCTTGGCTTTTACTGAAGTACTTCTCTGGCTACTCACCAGAGGGCAACCTTGTTGTCACAGTTAGTCCAACAGTTTATGTTAAGGGATTGGTTACAGAACCAATTTCACAAAGACCTAAAAGAAGTGAAATTCAAAACTAGTAAATTTCAAAATTTCCTATAAATATGTAAAATTAAGCAAAATCAAAAGAATTAAGGAAATGTGAAATACTAAAACCTCAAAAAATACAAAAACCACACACACACACACACACACAAAAAAAATTACAAGTACATACAGAGGATAATTATATATATATAATATATTTTATTTACTAAATGCACTAAGTGAATTTAAGATCATACAACATTATATATATATATATAATATATATATTTGTTGTAGGCCTGTCTGTATATAGGCCTATTGTTGTAGGCCAATTTGTATAGGCTTTTTTTTTTCATTCTTAGACATAAAAAGTACTTTTTTTCTAAAAGGACAAATATGTGTGGTTACATTATTTCAAATCCTTCTCCGTGCAAGAAATTTAATTGTACAGTGTATAGCATACTGCAGTCAGTTACACACAATTAGCTTTCTGATGCATAGCAAATTAATAATTTCATTGCTTAATTTTGTCATACAAAAGTGTTGTATTCAGTATTTTGTTTTATAGAAGTAAAAACATTTTACCTTTTTAACTGCATAATTTCTGCAAGAATTAAATATGATGAACAAAAAAATGAAATTCTATCTCTTGCATATTATAGTAAATATGCATTTGATCTACAGTGAAAAAATACTATAATTATCAGAATTTTTTAAACATCATGTTGGTCTGTATTCATAAATAGTCTGGATATTTGGAATCTGCTGTAGATATTTTTTATCATACATTTTTTTTTAAATACTGAGATACTATTTCTTACATAAAATCATGTTTCATTTAATATGTTTAGTTGCATGCTGAATATGATGCCTTTCATGACCAGTACTTGCCGCACAGAGTTGCTCAAGCATTTGAATTCAGTCAGTTTGTGCAACTTACCTCAGAAACAGCTGATTTAAGCATAGTAGCTGGTGACTTTAACACAGAACCTACTGATTTGCCATATAAAGTAATTATTCACAATGCAGGATGTGTTGATACCTATCTCAGCCAGAAAAACCCTGATCTTTTGGTAATATATTATTATTATTATTATTTCAAATTTTGTTATATAGTGTAGTTGTTCTTCAGTTCTCCTTCTCTTTTCATCCTCCTCTCTGTGTATTAATGTTATCCTCCCATAAAATTATTTGATTCAAGTGGTGTGTGCTTTCTCATTGATATATTAATTGAAAATTGTAAATTATGTTAATTACTTTTATGCAATAATTTGACATCTAATGATTTAGGTGTAGCAGATACCAAGCAAACTGGGTGGCTGCATAGTTGATTTTTGCTATGGGTAGCATAAATATGAACCAATATGCATTAGAAGAGTGATTCTCAACCTTTTTGAAGCTGGTGCCCCCCAAGAAGTGAAAAATTTTTCAATGACACCCTTTGTGAAAATCCTGTAATTTAGGTATGGGAAAGGGAGGTTCCTAAATTATAAAAGGCAAACATTCTAATATATATATATATATATATATATATTTTCAGTAGACTTAAACATAAATTTGTTATTTAACTTGATAGCTTTGCCTGGAATGCTCAGAAAAAATTGTTTAAGAGACGTTTTATGTTTAAAAATTCTTCATTAAATAATTAAAAAAGAACGGCAAAATAAATACACTAAAAGAGTAATATCAGTGAAACAATCAAGTACAATCAGTTGGATGTCTGTGCTTAATGGTTCAGAGACAGTGTCTGAAAGTTTGGTTCAGTATTTTTAGAGAGATAAAGGTGCAAGTTCCCTTTTCCCACGATTTGGAGTTGACTTCTCTCTTCACCCATGGTATGAGCTTTCCCTAATTTTGTTATGTTATAAGAGGCTATCAAACCATCATCCAGTTTTTTTAACGAAGTTGCTAGTAACCCTGAGACATATGATGCCTTGAGAAATTTGGCTCTGATGTTCAGGAAAAATGATAAATCTTTATTTTACTTGCCAGGATGAATGTTTTGCAGATTCGTCTCACCATTCTTAGAATTGCATGAAAAGAGGTATCGTGTAAGTTCGTTTTATTGCTGTTACAAATTGTATAAATCAGATAAATAAATTTTTGGGGAGTTTTAAATTAAGTTCAAATGCCAAAACATGCTCATTTCTCCCTACCACCCAAACTATCTTTGCTAGCGCCCTGCTGCCCGAAACAAGTTCATCGCCCCTCGTCATCCTTCCACTGCCCCCTGGGGGGAGGTATCACTTCTGTTGAGAACTAGTTCATTAGAATGTTTTCCATGAACATATACTTCTCATTAGACAAATAGCCCTTGTGTGCTTTGCCATATTCAAATATATATAAAACCTAATGTAACCCATTGTACTGTGAATCACCATCCTCTCAATTGAGAACCCTTGTTATAGTGTGATATGACAGCAAACAAATATTAATGAATTTTAATTTATTAAAGAGATAAATTTTATATAATTTGTAATTGATGTCAAGCTATAGTTAGGCACACAAAGAAGTTAATTATATTTTAATCAATGCAACATATCCAAGATATTTCAAAAAGTATTGTTAAAAGTCTGTGTCAGTCACAGGCTGTAAATTGTAGGTAAACCTGTTCTTATGATTGTCTATCTTTGGTTTAATTTAGAAAATGTTAATTTTATTCTGTTTTATATTACATAATTTGTATTGATATCTTACGTAATGTTTTGATCTGTGAGCTTGGTGCTTAGCATAACCAGTATTGCTATATTGTTGGTTATATGGAAACATGTTAAAACGTGAATTGTGCACTCAGGCTTTTCATTGGTTTTATTTTATTTTTATTTTTATTCAAGCAATTTGTTGTGTGAATTAATTAAACAAGTTAACCTCTTATAATTTAAGTTGAGATTGCAAGGATATACATTAGTTTATTGCATATAAATTGTTAGATCTATTAGCATAGTGTGTAAATTGTGGTACTTATGTGTTAACAAAGAAAAAGGCCGAAATTCACCCCTCCAGAAAAAAATGAATAGTTGCCAACTTTAGCACCATAACACAAATTAATCACTGTTGGAACTGTATCATGTTGCTAAAGTTTAAGAACACCTATAAGCCACACTTTTAAGAATAGTTTATTTATTTTATTATTATTATTATTTTGATTTTATAATTTAATCATGGGTGTGTAGGGTCTACCAAATAATGAAAGCTATTTGTTTCTTACAAAACATATTGTGTAAGTATCAGTGCTCCAGTTTGCTCATTCCGCAGTTCATACACAAAATATCGAGTGCATATGGAGTTTTTCAAAATAGCAGAAGAAGAAACATAGGTTTACAGTAAGGCACTGTTTGAAGTCGTACTTGGCTGAGTTCACATGGCAACAGAAGTTGTAGCTTCAAGTAGAAACACTTCAAAACTATTTTAGAAGAAATTCCCAACCATTTTCCAACCAATATAAGAAAAACTAATTGTATTAAATTGGAACCAAAGTTAACTAGTCCTTCTTTATTAATATGTAAGTACCTAAATAATACAGTATTAAAATTTGTGTATGCATCCACATTACTCCCTGTATAAAAAGTGTTTTCATTGGTCCAAAATATACTTAAGGGAACCGAAATTTATTTTACCATGTTTATTGTAAATATAATTCAAAATTTTATGTATAGCACTTAAAAGAGTTTTGCCATTAGCATTGCATTAAAAAATTATAATGATCGTTGCATCACGTCAGACTGTCAAAATGAAGTCAAATATCTTCTTTTATATAAAATATCATTCTCGCAGATAGTTAATATAAAATTTTTGAAAAGATAGCATAATTATTATGTTAAATGCAAAAATGTAGTTAACAAACAACTTCCAGATTCAAAGTGCTTATGTGTTTTCTGAGAAATTAGGAAATTAAATGTAATGTTGATGATACCTTCAGTATGATATGCATGAAATACAGTAAATCAATGTTAAAATTAAAATTCTTCAGAGTTGTTGTAAAGAGTTTCTTTTTTGCATTATACGATGCTTTCATGAGCTTTCTAGGAGAGAATTTTCATTCTCCAATTAGTCATTCATGTGCATTTCATATATAATTTATTTAGATAACAGAATGAGTAATTTCAAGTTTCTGATTCTTCTTCTATTTTTAGATATTTTCCTGTAGGTTGTTTCTGTTTGGCATGTTTTATTTTCTTTAATGGAAGTTTGTGGGGGGGGGTCCTATATCTACTACTACATCCTTGAAAAACCAGACATAATGCTGGAGAATTGTATCTTAATACAGCAGGCTGTTATGATTCATTTAAGTGTATTCTTTGCTTTTAAACTTGCATTAGTTTAACTATATAGTAATGATTTCTTTCAAGGATGCTTATTTGATGCACTGGCTTCCAAAAGTTAAGCATGCAATGCCAATTGGCAATTTTCCGAAGTGTATCTGAATTTAAATTGTTGTGGATGCAGATGGCAATTGCAAACATGGTATGTTATGGCCATTCGTGACTGACTGTCCGAACATATGCTAATTAGGTAATTGTTGAAGATGTTGTCTCTCTGAATGGGTTGAGGATGTTCATTGAAATTCGAATTTGAAATATTTAAACTTTTGTAGGATAATTTTTTGTTGCTATTTTTATTTCTATGGCTGAAGGAAGACAAGTGGCAAATAGTGAGTTTGGGCATGCAGTTGGACGCATTGAAGCAAGACAGTCAATCAAAGATGTCATTCTTTGTTTGTTATTGATTATAAAGTAATGATCATCTTTAATGTGGACGTAACTCTAAACAAGTCAAACAGTTATCCGAAAGACTTATGGTCAGTTGAAGAAGGGTTGCCAATTTTCTGAATATCAGTATATTGCTATACAGTCAAAAGTCATTAATCCGGACTCGTCGGGACTTCGGCGATTCTGGATTATAGATCATCAGTTTAAATCTGGTAAGATGGCATGCAGAAATTATAAAATTAAAAATATGAAACCGTAATTTATGAAATAAAGAACAATTATGATCTAAAAGGGTATCAAAATTTACAAAAAAAAAGCTTAATATTTATTTGTTTACTTATTTAAACATTTCTTTCAATGTAAGTTGTTTAAGTTGCTTCGTTTTTTTATGTGATAATACTTTCTCTTTAATTCTATAAACAGACATAATTTCTTGTTCAGTTACAAAGTTACACTGTTCAAGTCCTATAATTGCTGTGTTGAGAATACCGACTAGTTTTGTCAATCGAAATTTTTTCTTTTTCATATCGGAAGCGAATTATAATGATGAGGAATTTGATTTAAATCATATCAAAGACGGAGTACATCGGGATGAAATACTACATTTAGTAAGGAATTATAAGCCAAATAAAATAAAAACATCTGCCCTGAAGATAAGGATAGTACTGACAGATCAACTTCCAATTAATTGCGTGCCGTAGCCCCCCCCCCCCCGCCACAGAGCAGCGTGAAATTGATAAACAGATTTCGAATGGTTAGGTAAACAAAGGATATGGCTTTATCCATTTTTTACAGCAAATCCACTTTTTGTTTAATGGACTTCGAAACATACTTTCGCTTTGTAGGTCCTTTACATATTAGTAAATATATATCGGAAATTCTATTTGACGTAATCAAAAGTTAAAGCTTACTTTTATAAAATTGCTCTAACAGTCTGCAAAAAATAATAAGCCGGATCCAATTCGAAGATTAAGGAACAACGCAATCTGCAACATTAACTGAGTTAGATAATTTTGGCTTAGCTTATACCGTCAGTTACACATTAAACGCACATGCGTAAACGTATTTTGGGCATGCGCACACACATATTCGCGGCCGTAAAGGTCTTACGCGCATGCGTCAACGGGACGCATGCGCAGAAAGTTTGTAGCTCTGAGGTCCGGATTATAGATCATTCCGGATTATGGGTGTCCGAATTAACGATTTTTGACTGTAGTAGTAAAGTAGAAGCAAAGAAGTTATCAGCATCTCAGTTGGATTGTCTAAGATCGGCTTAAAATCCTGTTCATGGATGAGTCTAGATTTGCCCTGGAATCAGATGATAACCATGTAAAACTCTGGAGATACCAAAGCACAAGGAATCAGACTCAGAACATCATTTTCAGATGTGGCAGCACTATGATATGGATTGGAACTTCAGTGGAATTATCACACCCAGCTGCACATCTTTAACCCCTTAAATGTTAGCTCAGTGATACGAATTTATTTCTGCAGTAGTAAGAAGTCACAATAGCCTATTGCAGTGATTCTCAACCAGTGATACGTGTACCACTAGCAGTATGCAAGCGAAAGATAGGTTGTACGCAAAGGAACAAATTACTTTTAACTATTAAATTCAAAAATTAAATACCCCATCTTCCCATTAAAGTATTTTCTTAACACTTATAAATTTATGCAATCTTAGGTTTGTTCAAGGTCAATAGCTGCTCACAGACTTTAGCAAAATAATCTGTTATTATTTTCACAAATATTCTTTTAGCAATAGACACAACAAATTTCTATAAATGATGTTTTTTAAAAGGAGTAATAGAAATGGATATTGTATTTAATAGGAAATATGTTCCTATAAAATGATAAATATCTCACGAATTCTTTTAGAGTTGATGGATTTATTAGAATATCCACACTTCATGTCGCCAACACTTCCAGGCTCATATTGCACTAATTTTATTTACAATAATTTTTTCACATAGATTTGCTGTTTCTAACAGCAGGTATTTTGTCTTCTTTGTTGCTTTGTATTCCTTACTTTTTTACGCGATTTGAGAATATCGTCGTTTGTTTTTGAAGAACTCTTAATATATTGTGCATTTAAATTTTTGTGAAAAAATAATAGAACAAACCTAGATTTTCAAAATGGAAAAAGGGCTAGGATTGACTAAGCGAAAAAGTCATGGTTCACAGGTAATGGAACCAAGACAATCTACTAGCCCTAAGAATACTGAAAACAAAGAAAAATTGTTTATAGAAAGCATAATGAAAGTTATTTATCATTTGGGTTTATTTGGAACAGGGATGAAATGGACCCTCAGCCTCAATGTTTTGTTTATGGTAAACTATTATTCAATCAAAGTATGAAACGTTTATTTTGTAAAAGACATCATTTGTATACATAAAGCATTACTCTTTAGGTGCCAGTGATGTCATTAACATGTTGACGCCAGCCTGACCAACTGGTGGGTCATACTTGTCTGTTCCGTGGGGTGGCATGATCCACTGGTGGGTCATGTTTGATTGTTCCTCGGGCCAGCATGACTCACTAATGGGTCATGCTTGTATATAAAAAAATACGTAGTACAAAATTTTATTTTAATTTTCAACAGTATGCATTAACATTTTAACATTATAATGAAACATTTAATACAGAACAAATAACTTAAAATGTAACTTATAAATTAAATATAATGAAATATAAGTATTAATTTTTTCTATGACTAAGAATATTTTCTTAACAATTTCTGGAAATATACTACAGTTTAACTAGTTGACAGGGGCACAGATATTCATTGTTCTTTTTGTGCGGAGCAGCACCACTCCACAAAACAGACCGCTAATTCAAGCACCGCTGCACGAAAAAAAAACAATGCATGTCAGTGCCACCGTCAATATGTTAAAGGATGCTCTTTTGGCTTAGCCCATGATCCTATTTTTCTAATCTTCTTGTATAATATTCATTTGTCATCTCCTGTAATGAGCCATTTAAAAAAAAAAGAGCTTCTCTGCTTCTTTTTTAGTGAAACTTTGCATGTTGAAACTCGAGCAAGCATATTGTATTCTGTTAAAAGTATAGGGTACCCATACATCATGGTAGCTAACATACCCAAGTTTCTTCAAAATATCATGTGCTGTATCTTCTAGAATATTTGGAGTCTCTGATGCTGCCTGAACTGTATAATATCGATTTTCAGCAGTAGCCTTATTTTAACAGATCCTTATTTACAGAAGATGTTCATCCAGAATGGGCATCACCTTTGAAGCTCAAATTTCTGCACTTCTCAAAAAACTTTCGAACTGTGTCATCAGAAACAGCACTTTGTTCATGTATAGCACAAATTTTACAAGCAGTCTGAATAGTATTTTTTCCTTTGTTAAATTAAAAGAACATAGTCTGATAAAAAGGAACTTTTAAATTTTCAATTCTTATCACTGATCTGGAGGGGAAAAAAAGGGAATTGCATCATAACACATGCTAGAATTATGCAACACGGATTGTGTTTTCCATTGAAGTACCTTAGAGGCATACTGGGCACGACTGCTCAGCCGAACATCTTAGCAGAAAAGGTATACTGACTAGATAGCCAATGCTGTATTTCTAAACCAGGATGAGATGAATAAGAAGTATTTGCTCATCTGTCTGGACCTTGACCCTACATTACAACATAGTGGTAATGTTCTCCAGCTGTACTGAATGGCCAGGGATCTTATGTCCTGAGCACATGGTTGTTTCACTTCCAGAGCAGATTTTAATTGTGAAATTTTTATGTTTTGTAAAGATTTTAGTGCTGTAATTCTTATTTTTTAAAAAAAAATTTCGTGATGCAGTTTTGAATTTAATGTTTTTTTTTGGGGGGGGGGGTGCAAGTGGCCTGATGTAACTGGATTGATTTCTGAATAAAGCCATAAGAAACAACAAGACTGTATTTAAACATTCGCTCTGATCAAGGTCACTATTCACAGGAAAAAAAATAATTAGAAGAAAAATCTCTGTGATCTGAAAATAGGATTTTTCAGTTGACCTCAATATTTGTGTTTAGAATGGAATGAATGATGGAAGATATTCATTCTTGTAGTTCTTGAAAGTCTTTTATAATTTTTTTATCTATTTTTTTCTTATTTATTTAACTAGCTTTTCATTATGTTCATACAAAAACTATTCTAATTAAGATTTTTTCCCCCATTTCATGAGCTTTTTAACTGCTTCTGCAGAATGGTATTCAGAATCCTGTAATTGCTAAATTTATTTTACTATGAAAAGCACTCTTTTTTACCTTTTTTCTGTGTAAAATTTTAGAATTGCAGCACAATAAAGACAACATGTGGACATCCTGATAATTTATATACCAGCCGAAAAGAAATTAATCATTGTCCGACTGGCAAGAGGATTGATTACATTTTATACAAATGTGGTACTGGTAAGTAATTCATTATCGCTCTTTAAGCAGATTTGTTGTGTATACTTAATTTCCAATATAGGATTTGATCTTTTCGCTTCTATGGTAAGGTTAATGCAGCTGTGCAAGTTAATAGTGTCTATATATTTTGACATACACATATATTGCACATGTATCAGTTATATACTAACTTTATGGAGTTTGCTTTATTGTTGATGCGTGACATCTCTGAATCAGAGAACCTTTAATATAGATGCATTTGTTTAAAATTGGTATTTCATTTGCTGCAACTTGAAATTAAAAGCAAAACATATTAAAAATTAAAAACAAAAAAAATTTTAATTCAGTACCTTTTGTTTTGGCTTTATTCAAAAAGCAAGTCATTATATTCGGATTTTGTATTATAACTTCATTGTAATGCTCAGAAATATTTTCATGTAGTTATTTTAATTTTATGTATAATTGGGTGGGATTGGCAAAGAAAAGATATATTTTAGTGTATTTTAAAACAAGGAATGAAAGAAAATTAAAAACATGCAAATTACAATAATATAATTTTAAAGCTATTTAATGTTCTTTTAATAATAAAATTATAAAAATTTTACTAATTTGTAATTTTTTAGCAAATGCGTTACAATGTAAGAAAGCAGATGTTTTGCTAAATTCAATAGCAGAAATAAAAAATGCTACAAACTGATTTTTACAGTCAGTTAACACCATCTAGAAACAGAAAAAGTAAACTAAAATTTGGGATAATGTATATAGTCAAAAACTAAAACATTGAAAAAGATATGCCTGTATTTTTACTATTAAGTGATTAAAGATCACTTTTTATTCATTGCAGCTGGAGGCTCTATACTCTGCATTTTAGTTCCAGACTACTGTTTTAATTTTATTAAGCTGATTTCTCTTGTGATGAAAACTAATTTTTCTAATTTAAAAACATTTATTTTTTCCCTCTTTCTTGAGGATATATAACTTCATTATTATTAAAGTTAGAATATTTAAAATTAGCAAATATTATTTCCTTTACTGAAAATTGGATGCAAATAAAATCAGTCGGGTAATGCAGAAATGAATAGTGCTTGAGATGGAAAGATTATCCTCTTTATAATCTTTAAATGACACTATTTTTTACATTTCCAGTAACTAACTGATCACCCTTTGGTTAACAGTCACTGATTCAGAACTACTTGAAATTTAGTAGTATTTTTGGTAACTCACATGAGAAGTGTTTAAAATAATATTAAAAGCAGTATAATAAAAATGTCAATGTAATACAACTTGTAATAAGTTCAATACAATTTGTAATAATATTAGTTGGAATTTTCAAAGTGTAATTTTTTTATATTCTGTTATTATGAACAGTAAGTAATAGAAGGAAAAAGACTATTAAAATAAGTGACACTACTTCATTGGGGAATAAGCAACAATTCTAGTTTTCAGACTGATAACCAGAATGTATTTTATTATTGGTGATATTTGCACATTAAGTGACAATAGTCTTTCAGTTTCTTTTATTCCCAAAGTTGCTTTCAGTTTCATGTTTTACTCTGTTATCAATAATAATAACAAATAAAGGGTAAAAAAATGGCCAACAATTAAATGAAAAAGAACCTATTGTATTGATATATTGTCAGTTGATAAACATTTCACAGTATTTTGATCTTGAAAAATCATGTTTATTTGTTAAAAATTAAAAAATACATAATAGTTCTTTCTTTAAAAGAATTACATCTTTAAATAAAATAGTATTTAGACAAAATTTCTGAATGTTTTATTTTAAATATGATTTAATGAGGCATTAATATAGGCATTAAGCTATAAATTAGATAAACTCATTTATATTTTATGATAACTGTAAATGAGGGAAAAAATCATGATAAATATTTTAGAACATTTCCTTGGGGTGCTGGATTGGTAGTAGGGTGAACCCATTCTCGTGACTAGCTAGTTTGGTTGCTGTTTGTATGTAGGTTGCATATTAAAATGCCCATTGAACTAAAATATATTTATTATAAACTGCAAGAAACGCTATTAACAATATCATAACAATTGATAATTAATATTAATTATGAATCACTTTATAGAAAATTTGAAAAGAAAATATAATTTTTTTCTTTTCTTTGACTTGAAAACAGCTTTGATTCCCTCCCCCAGTATATAGGGACAGATAGGTTCTATAATAGTAGTTAATTTCTTTCACTATACAGCTTTAAAACATTCTAATAATTTCTGGATAAATGTGTTACCTTTTAGGAGCAATATTTAATTTTTTCTTGTGCCACAGTCTGCTGATTGGATTTGTGTTAATTATTTACAACAAAGTAATTTTATTGTAAAAGCCCAAATTTTGGAGATCTTGGAGGACATATGTCTTAAAAATCAATATTCTGTAGCAATAAAAAATTTAATTCATAATGCTGCTGTTATTTTCTCATTTTTTTTTAAATTGGTGTTATGTAATTTATTTTTATAATTTCAAATTTAGATACTAATGTATTAATTTCATTGGTATACTGCCAAAAATCACAAATTAAAAAAAAAGTTTGTAATTGTTTCTGTGTATGTGTGGTTTATTTATTTTATTTATCAAACTAGGAACACTGGAACAGATGAGAAAATTTTATCTCACAGTTATTCTTATCAATCTTCAACATATGTTCAAGCTAGCTAGGCTGATTATGAAGCCTTAAGAAAAACTCTGCTGATACTTGGTAATAAGTAAATTGTAAACCAAAAAAAAATCTGTTGGCTAATATTTTTAGTTAAATAGTCATTTGGGGATATTTTAAACTTTAAACAAGTAAACCATTTGTGTGTGTATATATATATAGTGTTACAAAGAATTTTTTTAAAATAAATATATCCCACTATTATTTCTATGGGATATGCTGCTGAAAAATTAATTATAGACAAAATAGTAAGAAATGGAACCAAATTATCAAATAATCAATCCATAAAAGATATGAAATCAAAAACCTGTTTCAAACAAAAAAAAAAAAAAAATCTCAGAAACAACAGAAATGTATAAAAAAACATAAAATAGGAAGAAGAATACAATCTAAATATGATTCAGTGTTATCAAGAGGGGTTAGATCGGATTCAATTAATTCCTCTTTCTAGGCAAACCACTGTGTTTTCGTTCATCTAAAATTAGCTGATGAACCATCTTAAATTATTTAATTATAATAGTTCATCAGAAAATTCTGAATGCCTCCTTGATGCAGCAGCCATCCCTTCATATGAAATAAAAATATACAAAAACAAATTTTAATGATGTAAATTCAATGCTTGATAAAGAAAAAGTAAAATATGTACTATTAACTAATATTAAAATACAAATTAAAACATAATAATTTACAAAATATATTAAAAATGAACAGAGAACAAAGTTTTTCAATTTACTGTGGGAAGTACAAAAGAGCAAAGGAGAGTAATTCAGACGGAAAAAGTAGATGCTAATGATTGCCTGTTTGGTGCTATTGGTGATACAAATTTGCAATGGTAAGTTTAAAATCTCCCAAAAGGTGAATTTATAGAAAGTAAAAAAAATTTTTTTTCCTTTTTTTAAGATTTGGAAAGCGTAATAGTAATGCAAATAAGAGAGGGAAAAAAGAAACAAATGTTAGCAAAGAATAAAATTTTCACACTATGGGCTTATCATGATGAATTATAGAATAGGTTAGGCACTCTGTTAATAAAGGTGTAGTCCAGAAAAAATGTACAGTAATATATATAAACAAATTATACTGTAAAACCTTCTAAAGCTCAAGTAAGAGCAAAGTTGGCCTCATCTATGAAAAGTACATTTCCAGAGAAGCTCAAAATGAATGTAATCTGTTGCAAAATCCAGTGACAGAAATCTACGTGGCAAGGATAGCTGCATTCAGTGCTTGACTTTTCTTATAAGTGGTATGAAAAAAAGTCTTTCCTCATGCAGAAGTTTCCATACAGTGTTTTTATTCACATCTGTAGTTCATGCAGTCTTGTGCTAGTGCTTGAATTATCTTCAACCTCTCTCAGAATACATTTCTCCATTTCTGGAACTTGTAGATGTTTTGAGCAACAAGCATCCAGTCTCTTGACATGAAATGAACCACTCTCACAAAGCTGCCAGTGTAAACGCAAAAAAATTTTGGGGATCTGGCTGTGTGCTATTAGGGAAATGTTCATGGTACAACCTTAACACCTCTCTTTTATTTCAATTTGCAGCCCCATGCATAAGATGCATGTCTGCTTTCTTAGAGAGTGTAAATTGCTGCATCATATGCAAAATTCTCTGACAGCAAAAAAATTGCTTGAAGCTCCATAACCCTATTCAAACTTAATAAAATTGTTTTGCAGATAATAATGCAACTAAATAAACCTCCAAATTCAATATTTTTCTTTCCCCAAATTCATCTTTTTTTAAAAGTTACGTCACTAAATTTGTATATCGTATGCTCTGCTTATAATGTATATATATTGTAATTAAATTTTGTTTAATACTAAAATTATAACCTTCCAAAGCATTGCAAAAATGCCAAAGGAAAAGTTAAGGGCCAGTAAAAACAAATTTAGAACTTAAGAAGTCTAAGCCTAAGGCCAAAATATTAGAACAGTCATATTGAACTATTTTTCTCTTGTCAGAGAGTGATGGGCAAAAATAATTTAATTTCCCACTGTAATTAATTGATTGTAAAGATGGTTTCTGATACTCAGCAGTTTTCAGATCATAAAAACAAATTTAAAACAACTGAATAACATCATCCCTTCCCTACATGGATCTGAACAACCAGAAAAATAAAAATAAAAAATCTGAAAGCGTTCAGATTTTATGTTATGCACAAAGGGCTGTTTCTTCTAACATTTTTTGTATTACCTTTATTTATTAAATATCTTGTTCTTTGTACTTAAATTTTAAAATTCAGTTCAACAGCAATATCACAAAAATATTTAAAAGCTGTACAAATACTTTTTGTGGAAAGTTCCAGAGTTGTTAAGTGTTCCTTTTTGTAAAATAAATTTTATCAAGCTACAATCAGTTCTGTGGGCATTCAATCTATTATTACAAACCTGTACGCATGCAGCAGCATAAAAATTCCCTCTTCAAAATGTGGAATATAAATAAACTCGGAATATGTAATTGAAAAACTCTCAATGATGATAAAATAGATAATAAATAAATACAATAAACATAAATCAAGTAAAGATCAAATAAGAATGCAGCTAGTTAAATAGGAAGGAAACATTAATTTAATGCTACCGATGTTCTAGTGGAAATGGAATCATGAGGCAAAATGCAATTATGGAGCCTTCCCATGTGTATGCAGAGTTTATTTTTTTATCCATTTGGTGCACTGGAAAGATGAGGAATAGAAGTTATTGTCTGCAATGTATGAAGATAATTTTCAAATTGTGTTTGAAATGATCTTTGATTGTATGAAATATATTTTTTTCTGAAATTGAGTTCAGGAAGAAGTCATGTATCAAATATCTTTGTGTTTAAAAATTTTCAATCAAAAAATTTTCATTAACTGTGCAAGTAAATTAACTGTACTAAATGAGTTTCATACATGTGGCTTTTTTTTTGGGGGGGGATGGGAATATGCAATTACAGATCATAGAGAATGAAAACTCATGCCATCAAAATTAAATCATGTTGTGGTAGAATTTGAGTTTCATATGATCCAATTTTAGTTCCTTATTTAAATATAAGCTTCGTATTTAAATAATCAACTAAATCTGATTAAAAATATCTAAGATATTTTTTGTTACAATTATGCTTGATGAATGATGGGGCAAATAAATTCAGATTACTTGCTGCACCAATGTCTTTTGATGTAAAATGAAATTATTGAGAATAATATTTACATTTTTTTTAAGTATAGATAGAAATTTACTAAACTAATGTAAACCATTTTAGCTCATAAAGTTGTACAAAATTTTGACTGCACAAGCACGAGTAAGCTCGAGGATCTTATTAATAGAAAGAGAAATTTTGATAAACATAAATAGTGATAATAATAATAATACTGTGATGAAACATTTCATAAAGATATTCCATTTTAGTCTGAATAGTGAGATTCAGAAGTAAAAATACTAATCATATAAAAATTACTATTATCTAACTAGTGAAAAGTATAAACTTTCTAAATTTTAGAAACAATAATATATTGAAAGGTGAGGGTACAGATAGTTTAGAACTCTCTGTGCATGCTGTTATCTGTGATTAATTGTAATAGATTTCAAATAAATTTTGATTAAAAAAAACTAGTTTGCTAAATAAAATAATTCTAAACAAAATCTGCATGCAATTGAACTGATATTTAAGAATTGCATTAACAATCATTATAACTGTATAGCTTGAAGACTGCAATGTTGAAATGTTTGATTTCAGTGTTATCTTTGAATTGAAGACTCATGTTGCTATACAATGCATGTATTCATTTTCAATCTTCCTTGAAAATGAATACATGCATGGTGTGTGTGAAACTTTCAGTTATTTTAATTTATGTGCATTTTCATTTCTTTTTCAACTTGCAATAATTCCATTAGGCTATATATATTTTTTTTTTCATTAAAATTTATTTTCAATTGTAAAGTTATGTTCATTGTACGTTTTTTGTTCTGCAGTATAAGTAATTATGTATATTGTTTATAGGCTAATATAATCTATAATACATTGCAGGCACATGTGCAGAATATATTGTTTATAGGCTAAAATAATCTATAATACATTACAGGCACATGTGCAGAATATATTGTTTATAGGCTAATATAATCTATAATACATTGCAGGCACACGTGCAGAATGTTTGACATGTGATACACCATTAGGAAAAATTCCAGGTTCATCTATTCCTTACTCTGATCACGAAGCTGTGGTTGCCACTTTACACATTTTCAAGTCTATTGAAGGTATTTGATTTTTAGCATAGTATTTCTTAGCTAGATGTATTTTAATTTGTCTTATAACTCCATTCATTCATTGATATATTGTATCTCTAGCACAAATTCAGCAGTCAAATCCAAGGGCCAGGCTGGAAGCTATAGATAGTAGTCATACCATTCTACAAAAAAGTCTCAAAGAACTTCATAACAGTCGTCTTATGTATTTTATTCTGAGTTGCCTTTTAATGGCTCTTCTTCTGGTAACTACACTTATAGAGGACATTGGTGTTTTTGGCATACTTATTCTATTCTTTCAGTTCATTGCTACATTTGTTCTTGCCTTTTGTTTATGGATGGCACTTATAATCAATAAAATTGAGTATAGTGCTTTGGTTTCAGCTTGTAAAGCAATGGGTATTTTAACAAATTCATTGATGAATGAATACAATTTGAAACTTAATACAGAATATCCTGTTTCATCATCACAAATTATTTTATGAAAATGCTCCTGAATATGTTTTAGGAAATATATATTATATGCCATGCATATCTTAATTACTGCTCATTGAATGTAAAGATACAGCTGTTAATAAATCGTCAACTGTTAATGATAGATATAATATAATAAATTAATGCACTCAAAGGATAATGTGTGTGATGTGAATGTTTCAAATTAAGGAAAGGTTAGAGATTAGATCAACAAATATTTAAGTACATTAAAATCAGATTCTAATATCAATACAATATGATTTTTGTGTTCCTCTTGCATGTATTATATTTATTGTAATTTGATGTATGATATTTCAGTATTTTAAATTTCATTAATACATTTTTATATTACTTAAGTTCGATGAAAATTCATTATAAAAATTATATCATTTAAGGATTTCTTAATAGCCTGTGTTTAAGTATGATTAATTTTGAAAAATTAGATAACTTAAGTTAATAGAGAATTATTACATAAGTTATTTTAAATCATTCTTCCAATTAATATTTGTGCATTTGATCATTTTAAATTTCTCATGCAAATTATTGTATGAGAATGTTTTTACGAGCTGGCTAAAATTAGTTTTATTTTGTAAGCTATATAAAATAGAAGTAATATAAATAAATAGATATGAATATATTGATTTATTTAAAGATATAGACAGAAAGATAAATAATCTATATTTTGCTAATTGAAAACTAATATACATATCCAAACTTAAAACAGAATTTACACAATGATATTTTTTCATGCTGTGGCAGTGTTATAATGATTTTTCCAAATCAGCAGAGCAGTTAATATTATATTGTTTTAACTGACTGTTGAAAAATTCTTTTGATAACTCTTATATTGGATTTTGGTTGGTATTGATTCTACAGTTTTAAAGTTTACTTTTACAGTAATACAAATGTGCATTAACGGTTTGCTTGGGTAATATGCCATGTAATTTTCAATAAAATTTCATAGTACCTTGCTGTGAAATTCTAATAATCAGAATATAAATAATTTATTTTAAAAAATGCCACAAAAATATTTAATTGTACAGTGATGCATGATACTGTGTGATTTATATCCAAAACTGAATGTGCTGCTTTAAATTGTTACAAAAGTCAGAAATATTTCCAATTTTGCATCAGATATTGAACTAAAACAGATTTAAGCACTGCATTTCTACAAAATTTCAAGAAATTTTGTGTGCATTCTACACTAATGTGAAAAAATTATTACTTAGCAATCTTATAATCTTAATAAAAATAAAATTTTTGAAAAAGATTAAAAAAAAACACCTTAATTTGTAATTATTGAGAAAAGCAGCTTTTTAACTCAAATGCAGATTTTTTTCCTATGGAATATTAAAATATAAGTACATATACTCATTCCTTTGTATAATTTATATTTGGATCAAAACATGTTAACTTTCATTATGAGCTGTTTAAAATGTTACAGTTGAGCTATTTTTCTCCTGTTTTCTCTTCTTTCGCCCCTTGTTTTATGCACTGCCTCACAGTTTCATATATTTTAAAACTTATTGCTACATAATGTAAGTTAAAATGTTTTGCAGTCACATCACTGTTGTTAATTTAAAAAACTTTAAAATAGATACATTGAAGTCAGTTGGTCTTTTATATTGAAGGATGCTTCTGAAACCACCAGGTTGAAATTTATTTGAAGAAAGAGCATTTATTTGAATAACAATTTTAAATTATAGTTAATTCTATCTTTAAAATATTTCCAGCTGAATTATGCATTCTCAGTTTTAATGATGTACTTTTTCTTAATGCTATTAAAAAGTACACTGCATTAAATGGTCAAATTAGATACTTCATGTTTTCTCAATTGTATGTTACAGAAACAAAAATGCATTGCCTTCTCAAATTCAGTTTTTATAGCATAATCATGCTGTGTGTGCCAATATCTTTTAAGATAGCAAATAATGCTCATTCACTTGTATATTTTAAAAACTAGTTTTAATATTTCCAGAATTAGTAGAGTAGATTCATTCTTAGAGTAATATTAACAAATTCTTTTTTAGTTGAAAATATCTAGAATTGTTCTAAAAGTATACAAATAATCTATTTTACAATGAAATAATCTATTTAAATGCATATTATGTAATCCCTTATTATATTGCACACTTATCAATACCAGGAATGATGACATTAATTGAAGTAATAACAATAAGTATTTCTGTATGTTGAAAAATGTTTTATATTGTTGATAACTGGAATTCCGGATTTTTTACTTTCTCAAATCTGGTATTTTGATATTTATGAAATATAGACTCATATTTTTCTCAAATTTATTTTAGAACAAATACAGTCAGAGATTATAAAAAAATTTAACTTAAATGTAAATTTCAGTGAGAAATAAATTTCTTGTATATGCTAATTGACTTTGTGCAGATAAGATATATATATCTTATACAAGAAAGTTATTCTTGCTCTTTGTGTTATACAGAAGAAACTCATGAAGTTTTGCCAGAAGTATTCAGGCTAAAAGAAGATGGAAAGTAAAAATATTCAGTATTAACAAATCTGATTAAATTTGTTTTAATTTGCTTTCTTAGATCCATGGTTAAAATTTCATTTATTCATATGTTTGGTAATTATGGCAGAATGTAGAACACCCTTGAATATTGGTAACCCAGGTGCTGTTCCGACACTGAAATATTATTTATTTTCATTGCACAAAAATATGTAGCTTTTGGATCAATTTATAAAGATGTTAAGGATAATTTATTGAATAACTGAACATTCTGCCGAAATTTTTTACAGGCCATGAACCATTCTTTTGCATCTAGCAGTTTCACACCTACAACACCTATTAATATGCATTCTTCAAGTTCTAATCTAATACTTATTTAAAAAGTTAAGTGGAAAGTCATGGTATGCTTCAAAATATCTTGCTGATCTACTAAATCCATCTCACATTCAACATGAAACGAACCATTAGAAATAAAATGAAGAAACATAGTAAATAATTGCATGAAAAAGTGAAAAACAGTGCATACCAAAAATAAAAATTACAAATGAAAAGAAGAAGAGAAGTATTTACATCTGTCGCCGCATTATTTTCAGGGGGCTGATATAACAAAAAAAAAAAAAAAAAAAAAGGAATATATATATGTATAAATGTAGCAGTTTCCAGAAATTAAACTATCCTCCTCTTTCTAAAAAAAAACAAAAAAGAAAGAAAGAAAAGAAAAAAACCAAAGTTTACAGTTGTTTTCACAAAGGTCAGATTAAGTAAAATAAGTAGCTGTGTGAAACGATGTAGTGAAACATAAATTAATTTTGAATAAATTAAAAAATAATTTTTGATTCGCTCATGAAATTGTTTGAAAATAAATGTGCTCATATATGTATTTCACATTAATATTCTAAATTATTTAAAATCATGTCAGGTTTGTGTTGCTTGGTAATTTTCAGGATTTTTGGAATGGGATCACAATCACCCCTGTCACATAAAATTGGAAAATCTGTATGACATTAATTTTCTGATTCATACAAGATTTTCAATGAAGTATTACTATATTGCTTATTTTAAATAGTTCACATTTGGAAAAAATGAAAAGAAAAGTATCTGATATAGGCACCATATATGACTTTCTTGTATGGCCTGCTAAATTGTACACAATTTTTGCTGCACTTTTCAACTTTTTTCCTGGAGAATTTCATTAGAAATATATTTCTCATTCAATCAATTTAGTTCTCATTTTGTGGTAAGGCAAAACTGCATAAAAACTCAAAATATCTTCATTAAGAGTTATAAGTAAAATTAGAGTTTCTAAGCAAAAGCGAGCAATTCCGCCACTGGGCAGGAAGACAAAATTTTCAGTGCATGAAATTGAAAGTTAACTTAAGGCCAGACACTGGTTGGTGCACCAACTGACTTAAGTATTCTGCTTTTCAAATGCAAACAAATGGTGGCCTCATTAGACTTAGTGCCACTTTTAAATTCTTAATAATTCTATAACTATTGCATGCAGATTAACTTAAGGCATAAAAACCTTGACTGGAACAGGAACAACTTAATTCAGTTACTTTTAAAGCAAAAAATTCACAATTTACCAACTGTCATGCAAAAACATTATTCAAACAACTAGTTGAAGATGTAGTGAAATCTGGATGAAAATACAAACCAAGAAAGTAAAGGATTAAAAAATAGAAAATGTTTGTTATAACTGGTCACTTTTTAAATTTGAGGTAAAGAAACAGACCCTGTAAGTCATTTGTAATTATATCAAGGAAAAGTGACTGCAAATATTTTAACAGTGCATGGACTAGCATTCTAACAGTGCATCTTAAATATACTATAAATTTTGTATCATTAGCTGATTTTATTGAAAACTTTATTCCATATGCTCTAAACTAAATTATGATCAAAGTAATATGATTGTTAATCATACACAGTACCAGTGTTTATATTCACAGAAATGCTGTCCTCTTTTAGATGAGGTCACCAGCCATAAAAAGTTTCATTGTATTTATTACTGAATAAATTTATTGCTGAAATAAATACAATGAATTGTATTGCAGTAATTACTGTCAGTAAGCAGTGTTAAGTTATTAATATTACAGACTCTAAATGCATAATTTTATTGAGTAATTTGTTTTCAGATAAATATCTTTCATCAAAAGTACTTTAAAAAAATTTTGTTTCAAGTATTTTCTGTTCGAAGTTAAACTTTCATGTTATATTCTATGGTATTTTCAAAGCATGCTGTCTTAAATTCTTCAGAGGATTTGATTTCATTATCTAATTCCCAAGCAAGTATTCCTATAAAAATCATTATTTGATTATTGAACATATTTCTTACCACATAAAACAACTTCATTGAGGAGCACTAATAAAATTAATGCAAATTATATTTTACAAAATCCATGAATATTTATGTAGCACTGGATATTCTCTGGGATAAACCGTGAAGTGTGATACTGTATTAAAATGGGATTATTCTTTTCAGTTCAGGACGTCTGGTCATTTTAACAAAGTGGAAAGAGCTTTATATGAAGAAGTAAAATAGTTCTGAGTATAGATTGAAAAACTATGGAAGAGGTTATATATCTTTTACTTCACCTATTTGGAATTTAAAATTTTCATCAATCATTGTTTAGGCCAGCAGACTGAGAAGGGATGAAGGGAGCTGTTGTTTTAGTTGCTGCTACTTATATAACAACAGTAAAGTAACTGAAAAATTATATCATTAATCCATAGCTATGTAAACAGGAAAATGAAGATAATTATGATGTGAGAAAGGTAAAACTTTAGAAAGATCAATCTAGCTGGGAAGACAGGTCTGTCAGTAATAACATCTACAAATGGTTCTTACCAAATAATTCAATAAATAATAATGGATTAGAGGAGTCAAGCGAGTGTAAATTATAAATATGTGTTTTGCCCAAACATAATAATGCTACAATGTCAATACAAAGAAATGTAACATTGGCTTAGTAAGTAAAAAATCTCAATATTAAGTAATTTAAAAATGGTTAAAATAAAATATGCATTCTTATAAGCTTATATGTATGTGCATATCTAACTTGTCTAATTTGGATATTACAAAATATAAATTGGAAAGTGAAGACAATTTTAATTCATAAACATATTTTAATAATTATAGATGAACTCTGAAGGAAACAGAATATAAATTATTTGTCCAATAAATATAGCTTTATAATTTATAAAGCATTCACCATTCAACATGTAAGTTAATACTAGGCAAAAATATTATATAAAATACTTAGGTGACATTTAAATATGATGCTTGGTACCAAAGTGAAAGTTTTATTACATTTGTAATTGTAGTTGATGTCCTTCATTAGAAACTTTAAATGACTTTTCTGCACAATAATTAATATCATGTTTACAAATTAAGGAATGTTTTCTCTTATGTTATAAATTTAAATCATTGTGTACTATTTTACATATTTAATTGCATCTCTAAAGTATTCAAATAAGTTAATAAGAATTACATACATGAAATATATTTGATGGTATTTGATGTATTTATCTTATCTGCTTTTATTATAATCATTTTGAGGTTGCTTGGTATAGTATGCATAATTTGAAAGCATTTGTTTCATTTATAAATATATAATAAGTAGTAAACTCTAAAACCTTCAAAAGATCAGATTATTTGATTATGGAAAAACACATTAGGACTATATGCCTAATAGTAAATTCTTCGATAGGAAACTTTAGTTGGGAATTTGTCCCATATTTGTGTTGCATATAAGATAAAACTTCATCTAGATAGCTAGTTTAACAACTAGGAATAGAAACCAGAATAATCTAGTAAAAGTTTTAGCCACTCAACCCTTGGTTATCCTTCCGATGGAGTAAAACAACAACAAAAAAACACTACTTAATAATATATCCACAAATAAAGTTCTAGAAATGAATGAATGCATAGCTATAAAGATCAGCCAAGCAGTTTGGGGAAAAAACTTTGTACGAATAAAGAACACATTTAACAAAATCAAAGGTATATTAAAGTGCAATATAGTTGGGAACTATTACATTTGCTGTAATATCATATCTGCCAAGGTGTCATGCATATAAAAGTATATATTTCTACATTACTTATTTTCTTCCTGCTGTAAAGGCAATTGGCATAGTATAAAGCATAGAGCTATGCATTATACATTTATTAATGACTATAAATATATGCTGTGATATTTTATAATTTTAATTTGATCCAGAACTTTATTTTGTGCATTAAAAGGCAGATAAAAAAGATACTGATTTATTATTAAAGTATTAGTTGAAAGTCTTTAAAAAATAGATGCAATCGTTGCCTAGATAATTATCATTTTAGATGTAAAAAGAATGTCAATCATAAGTTTTTTTGCACAAGCCTGTAAAAGTATTAAATTTATTACACAGATATCAGTTCAGGTGCATTATTATAGTATTAGTAAGACATGTACATAATAAGAAATATTTATATGTACATTTTTATGAAATGGGATAAAGCAGCTATATATATATATATATTTGTGTATTAAAATATATATCTGTAAAATTTAACTGATATGAATTGGCAGATGTGATATTATTTTTCTAATGTCTTATAATTTTGTTACATCTCCTGATGACTTGCTCAAATAACATGCTCATGAGTATATGATCAAAATAAGAATTTACTCTTTTGAAATAAAAGACTTAGAATTTTGTTGAAATGTTGCTTGTTTTAATATTATTAAATATGAAGCTAGTATCATTGCCTTTAAATATGATCATTAAATAAGCATGTTATTGCTGCTTTGAGTGTGTCATGAAAACAAAGTGAAATTTTCAATGTGGGATTGTGAAACTATGTTCAGTGTTTCTCTTTACTTGGTAAAATTTATTATATAATCTGATTTTATTTTTTTACTTGATGTGGTAAATATACAATAGAAAAGTTTACATTTTTATTGTAGCATTAAAGTCAAAATGTCATGTATATGATTTCAAACATGAGAATCATTAAAATATATTTCAGATATCAGTAATCATATAAAATATCAGTCCTTTAGAAAATTAAAAGTTTAAATTGAGTTTTTATTAGCTAGATTTTGATTCATTTTTTAAATATAACTTCTATATACATATTTGTGATGTCACTGCCCCTAAAACTTTGAACCATATTAAGCAAATTCATATTACTGAAGTGTAATAAAAAGTACTTCATTTGTATAATTTTATGAATTTTCAAAATGCATTTTATTCTTTTCTGAAATCATATGCAGAATCATATTGACCACTCCACCTAATTTGCTAACCTAAAATTTTAAAATAAATTGCAAATTCTGAAACTATAATATTCTATTCTCGGCCAATTGTCACTTGTTTCAATTGTACTGTATTGTTTACATTCTGAATAAATTTGTCATCCCTTGCTACATTTTAAAAATTATATACAGTAAAATGCCTTAAATTATGCAGCCTTACAGAATTCTTCCAGATTTCATGTATTTCACCACCTTTAAATGTATGTCTATCATTTCTCTATTCCCATTGATTTTTTCCCAAAAGCTTTCCATTTTCTGCTTAAAATCTTTGTCTTATATATCAGTCACAGTGGCTGAACATTTTGATACATATTTTTGTAATCAAAATACCCGATTTTGGCAGTATGAATGTGGATAATCTGTGTATAATCTATACGGTTACTAGTAAAATAAATTGTTAAAATAATTGCTTCTTCTGTGTCTGTAGTTATTTTATTCTAAATAGCATCTTATGAGAGAAAAGTTAAGATATTCCATAAAAATTCTGTATAATTTGTAAATGTTAAGAAATAAGTAATTAATTCCATTTGGCATTTTTAAACAAATTCCCCCCCCCCGAGTTAATTGGTTAATTAAAAATGCAAGTTATTTTGCTTCTGATATAATTTTCATTTTTTACTTTTCCCAATATAGTTACACAATTAATTCTATTTTTAGGAAAATTGTAATAAATTAACATTTAATGGTTTTACTTAGTAATTTGGTAATTTACATGACTGAAAGACATTCTAATAATTTAATTTGCAAAAATTGTACAGTGAGGCTACATTATTTTTATACTTTTATCAGCACTTTCATCAACGGTTTGCTCTTTCTGAGCCGGAACTTAGATGGTATCCAGTTCCACCATATATACACATATATTCCCCTTCATAATATCAGTTTTATCTATAATGTTCCTCTGCAGATAGTTTATTTTAATCTGAAGAAAGGCTGTTCAGATACATGGAAAATGGCTTGGAACTGCTTTATTACAATATAGCCTACTCATAATTTTGACTGCTGCTGTAATTTCAAGGCTATTTCTATGGATATAACTACTGATTATTTTAACTTCACTTAGAACTATTTTGAACATGAAGGATTTTTCTGTATATCTAATTAAATATATACAGTTTTCATTAATGCTGTTATTTTTTTCAATGTTTCTGTGCTTCATAAATCTGTCTCAACTTCTAAAACATGTATACTGTATTTGGTGCCCTATTGTCTCATTGCAGGTAATGAAACAGTAGTCACGTTTTTTATTCACCTAATTACTCTGCATTATTTCTGTCTTTCCTGATTAATTTTCAGGTATTATTGAAAGTTTAGACAGATTTCTTGAATGCTGATATATATATATGGTAGTTACAGTTTCTTGTAAACTGTCTTTCAATGCTATTAATTTTTTTTTTTATATAAAATGTGATAAATATTGGTTATTCTTCACAATCTGTTAGATGCATTAGTATTTATTTTATATAATTCAGCCTTAAAGAATTTTAAACTCAAAGAAAAGCACCATCTTAATAGACATTGTAAAAAAGGGAATTATTGCTATTAAGAAAGATATCTGAAGTATTAGTAAATTTACAAGTTCATTCTTGGAATAGTCTCAAAGGATAAAGATTATTTAATGGACCATATTCATAAAATCCATGTTTTTCTTCCATATCTTGTAAGATGGAAGAAAATAGTTCTTGCAGTGATCTTTCCACTGTTCAAACAGCAGCTCATGATCTTTAAAAACAAAGAAATTATGAATAAAGTGAAATGCTTCAGATATTAGTCGAGTTTTGGTTTTAAATTGTCATCAGTTTTTTCATTAATGGCAGTTGCACTCTGAACTGAAGCATTGAAGGAAATTTAACATCTATTGTAAACATAGTGATACCAGATTATATTTTATTGGGAAGTTGTGTACAGAATTCATGTGTAAACTGAATACTAAATTATAAATTTCAATGAGAAACAAAATTTAGATTTTCTTTCCAAATTTTCCTACATGTGACTGATTTTTACTAGATGTGATCTAGGAAAGTTTTATTTATGCATCTTGAACTGAATGACATACAAAATGGTTATTGGACTGTATAGATATATATTTTGTATTTCTTAGATATGAGTAAATATATATCTGTCATCTCCAACATCATTTGCTTTTATCTTATTTGTATATTTTAAGATCATGGTCAGCAATGAATTCTTGTACTGAAAAATATTTCCTTTCAGAAAATTAAGCTTTTTCTTCCTAATTTTTTAATAACAAATTATTATAAATAGAGGATCTATGACAGTCAGTCCCCCCCCTCCCCAAATGCTATGGATTTTTACTAATGTGTCTACTTTTTTTGCTCGTGAACAGACCTAAATCCAAACTTCTGTTCAACCTTTTGTCATCCATGCTAGAATGAATCAGCCAACCTATCGACAACATCATTTTAAAATTATAGAAGCAATAGAAATTATGATTAAGCCATGACACAATAACAAGTTTTCAACTTATTTTTCATATACTTAGACAGCCAAACTTGAAAGAATAAAATAATTCACCTGCAGATAAAAGTCACAAGGTGGCAAGTACTTATTATAAACTGGAGATGAATCCAATGTGAGGAGGAAGTACATGGGAATAAAAAGAGATAAAGAAAGAGTGAGAACAAGCTGACAAGGTGGGCTACTTGTCCATGTAAGTTTCAGTAGAACTATCTGACTGTTTTAAATATGTAAGAATTTAGTTTTGACATAATTTTACTTGCTGCTTAAATGTCTTCAAAATCCCATATAGCTATAGGGTGACAGACATCATTTATATAGGTCAATTAAAAACGTAGCATTTAAGTTTTCATAATAGTCCATGTCTGATATAAAAAAAAAATAAATTGTTCAGTACAGTTGAGAAAGATTAGTTTAAAATAAATTATTTAAATAATCTGTTACTAACATTTAATTTTAATAATCTTAAGTAAATGAATCACATTCTGAAAACAGCTCGGTGTTAAATAATCAAGATGCATTGAAATTTCTGGTTTTCACTTTTTATCTTTTTTCTGCAATCTTCTGAAATAATTTTTCCTACTTTTGGTCATGTAATGTAATGCTATTGCCATATTTACAAAAGTTGGCATGTTTGCTTTTAACCATTCATGGAAAAAACCCTGGAAGAAAAAATCAGAAAGTTAAAATTATGAAAAAGTGGTTTTTACATTTCATGCATGCATTCTAAAAATGTTACTGCAAGGTAAATTAGTATAGATTTTACGAGTTTCTCATCGAAAAAAGTATTAAAATAGTTTCACAAAAAAATATATGTAATTTATGAAACTAAAAATGTTTTTTTGGGTGAGAAACTTACAAAATTTATATTCACATTTAGTAAATTCTATATTTAAATATAGTAAACAAATAAAATAAATTATGAATTAAAATTGCTTGAAATGGGGAAAAAAAATACTCCTTATTTTTCTTCTGAAATTGTATACTTGATAGCAATATATTTTGCTGAATATCTGACATGCCATTATATTATTATTACCATATGGGATATTTTAATCTTAAAAAAGCATTATAGAGAATATGTTTAGAAATGTTCTGTTTATTATTTATTGAAAATTTCACTCAACAGATTATGTGAGATTCTTTACCCCTAGTGATTAGATTTAAAGGAAACTGTCTTCTGAATTTAAAATACATAAAAAGGAATCTTATGATTCTAAAAGGTTTAATTTCTTTCTAAAACTTATTATTGGAAAAAATTTCTCCATGATAGAAGTATATGCCATTGGCTGTAATAATGATATGAAACTGATGATTTTATTCAAATATCTCGCAAGTTAAAAAATTTCTCCTTATTTTCAAATTCACATTGACAGCATTTAAACAATGCACAATTTAAAGCATACAAAATGCCTTTAAAATTATACCATAAATCATGTACATTATAAAGGAAATTAAAGCTCACCCTCAATTTATGAGGCAGATATCCATAAGTGTAATCTTCTAAGCCTACTGTTTTGATTGCACTAGAAACAAATGCTTTTGCTGATGGTACTTCCAAACGTTTTCTTCTATTTGACATTTTTGTTGCAACATATCCTGGGAGCACACACTAAAACAAAATTTGAAAATGAATTTTTGTTTTGAGATTAGGAAAAATCATTATACTTTTAAAAACCTTCATATTCAAGTCACAAAGTTATACTAAAAAAAATCAGTGAAATATTCTTAAAAAAGTGGTACATTTTTCAAAATGGAGACCAAAAATTAAGAAAAATTAAACTCTGAAGGAAAAGTAAGCCTATATATAGCAATTTTGGGGATATGTATCTTCATACCACGTTTCAACATCTAATTAGATACTTGTATATTTTTAACACTTCTGTATTTTAATTTTAAAGTTAACTCTTTATCTGTACTCTTGACAGTGTTTATTTGGTGAATATTCTAGCTTAAAATTTAAGCAAATTCTTGATTTGAATTTTTTTTTTGGGGGGGGGAAGGATAAATAAAATTCTTTCATTTTCAAAATTTAACCTGAAGTTTAATTCTTGAAAACTGCCAAAAATTTTGGTTGGCAGTACAATTTACAACACAGATACTTTCTCTAATCTTTCACCTTATACACCCAAAAACTTTTATTCTGTTTCTGTACTCCAGAGAGATATTTGTAGAAATTTTAGCATTTAGATTACTTTAAAAATCAATAAACAGCTAGGAAAAGTTTATACTGGATAATCAAATATATTTTTATAGATGTGCTTAACTGCTAATTTGTTATGAATTCAGTATAGTTATATAGTATATTCAATACAGTTTAACTAAATAGAGTGCTGGACTATATTCAAATAGTCCAGTACGCTTATCTAGAAAAAAAAAAAAAAAAAAAAAAAAACTGGGACAAATAAAATGAAGGGCTAAAGATAGCATCAGGAGTTTAAGTACAATGTGTGCCACAAATATTGCCCAGATTTCATATAACAAAACAGAAATGGGTATTATGCTAAAATTTTCCTTCACATTTGGAAAGAACAGGGTTTATTACTTTGCTTCCACATATATTAGGAAATAACTTTGTGTGCAGTTTCAACAGGATGGTAGCATTTATAACAAGAGTATAAACATGCTGCTTGAAATGTTTCCAGAGCATCTGATCTCATTTAAGATGCTATTCCATGGCCAGCTCATTTCCCCCATCTTGCATCTTATTTAGGAGAATATCCAGACACCGTTTACTAAGGGAAGCTGAGAATAATCAATGAACTGAAAAATGTATCAGGCAGGAAATCATGGTAACACAACCCATACATGACTCAGTGGGTAAAGGGAGACTTCATAAATACATATACTGTGCAAGTCATCATTTGGATGAAATTTTTAAAACAAAGGGAATTATGTTACACAGAATTAGGAATTGTTGGAAATTCTTAAAATTTTGACAAAAATGGTATGCAAGAGTGATACATTTTGTTATTTTCCAACATGAAATAAAATTCTGAACCTAGTTCCCTTCGACTGTGAAATAAAATTTTATGTAACATCCATCTTTGTTTTGTTATTTGCATGAGATACAGTAGTTATCTTTGCCACTTCCTGTAAATGGCAGGCAATTTTTAAAAGACATGGAAGTGCACACTTGATACTTTATGGAATGAAATGATCATATGCATTAATACAGATAAAAATGCAGAAAATAAAAGAGAAAATTTCAATATTTAATTGAATTATCTTTAAAGTATGACCAACAAATATTTTGAAGCCATACTTCTATTTATCAGCATATAATATCTGAAGTAATATACTTGTGTGACCTATTAAAATCTTATATACTTTAATTCTTAAAAACACTACGGCATGTTAAAAGAGATAATAGTTTGACTTCTTATTTAACACTAATATTGAATCTGCATTGCTATAATAATGTTTTAGGCTGAGCATAGGAAATTCAAAGCTAATATTTAATAGATTCGATAATTTCAATTAGAAGAATATTTTAAGAAAATATCCATATATTATTAAGCAGTTATCTGTGTGTTAATGTTTTATAGAAAATGTTCGATTCAAAAATTTAATATATATTATTGTCAGGTAATAGTGATTTGAAATTACACTACTTAAACACTGGACTGCATTTTAAGGAACTCACCTAAAAGAGAACAACAATTAATTGGAATTTATTTTCTAATAAAAAGTAATGTTATGCGGTACAAAGTCCGAAATCCAGACTGGTCGGGACATCGGCGATTCTGGATTTGGGATTTTTCCAGATAATCGATCATCAATTTAAATCTGGTAAGATGGCATGCAGTGTGTGTGTGATTATGGCAAAGCCTCGAGGGCTATCTGCCCAAGAGGAGGAATGCCTTCGTGGAGAACTTTTTAAGGGAAACTGGCTCGTATACACGTTACACATGGGGAAAACCACGAAAAGAGATGGCATGCAGAAATTATACAATTAAAAGTACGAAACTGCAATTTAAGAAATAAAGAACGATTATGATCTAAAGGGTGTCAAAATTTACAAAAGAAAGCTTAATATTTATTTGTTTACTTTATTAAACATTTCTTTCAATGTAAGTTGTTTAAGATGTTTCCACAAAAAATATTTTCTTGTCATATACAGTGGACTTTCCAATGCCATACTCCTTGCATAAGTTTGAGACGGATATGCCTTTATCCATTTTTTGCAGGAATTCCACTTTTTGTTTAATGGACATCAACGCATGGTTTTGCTTTGTAGATCCTTTGGCAACTCCAGAATTGGAAACTCTTTTTGACATAATCAAAAGTTCAAGCTTAGTTTTATAAAATTACCGTAATAAGAGTCTGCAAAAAATAATAAGCTGGATCAAATTAGAAGATCAGGGAGTAGCACAGTCTGCTACATTAATTGAAATGCCTTAGAATCAGTATAGATAATTTTAGCCTAACAAGTAGCATCTGTTATACATTATTGGCTGTGTATCACAAGATTGGCGATGAAAGCCAAGTTGTTTCGCTAAATTTTGTCTTGCTCCTATTGCATATACTCAATTATATTAGTTTAGTTATTTAGTATACCTAACGTTTATTTCTTGCACATGCTTCAAACTAATCCGAGTCCTGAATAAATAAACTCCCACATATACTTAAGGGCCGGCGCTCGATATCGCCTGATGTAGTCTCTACGGGTCCTAAATTCTACTTTCCTACATTCTACATTTTCACCATGCCTAAACTTCAGATCCCAGTGCTTTCCCTAAATCATAAATACTTCTCATCTCTTAATTTTGCCGCTCGGTGCTTCTCCAAATTCCAAAAATTTAGTTCTGCCGCCGCTTCAGGGTTTATGGTGAATAACATATCAGTTATTCTTAATTAAAATAGCACTAAATGTAATCTTTTGGCCTATGAATTTCATTAAAAAAATCTACTTTTAGCATATGAAAAGAAATTTTTGTTGAATTTTTCCTCGTCAACATTTCTTAGAGCATTTAAAAATCTATAATCATCACCAAACATAATGTTAGCATAAAAAGTTGTTATTCAATTACTAATATAAAAAAAGTTTAGACATCACAGCACGAGTTATTACTGAAGCTGTCATACATTGATAAACATACGGTGATGAAAGCAAAATATAATAAATAATGACTCGCCAGGTCAGCGTCAGGGATATAAAATAGGTGAATGTTTTGGTTTGAGATGTATGCCAAGTAGATACTCGGCTACATAGCCAAATTATTAATCTCACAAATTTATGCTTATATGATTATTTTCCATAACAAGGCATTTTATTTAGTGCCTAAGTTAAATTAAGAATCGGAATTTTTAAGCAAAAATTTCCACATGTTTTTATTATGGAAGAAAAAATCAAATGCACATGCGTAAAGTATTAATAAAAAAATGTTTGTGGCTTTGAGGTCCGGATTTTAGATTATTCCAGATAATGGACATCCAGATTTCGGACTTTGTACTGTATTTTGTTATTATAACTTTTTGTTATTGTAACTTGTTTGAACATAGCAGTGACAGGAGATGCTGAAGTAACTTTAGCAGCAGTCTCAGTACCAGTAGCTTTGTTTCTTACTCATAACTACAGCAGTAATCAATTTTTTTCATTGTTATTTCTAGTGGATACTGTCTAGCTATTGTGTGTGATATAGTCCAGCAATTCTCAACCTTTTGACTAACACATACCATCTAAACAAAAACTGAAAACCTTTAGTACCACTACAACAAAGTACTACTACCACTACTCAGAACAAAGCTCAGATCGCATAAATTTATAAGTTAAATAAAAAACTCAATCAGGATGTTGGGGTTTTAATTTTTTAATTTAATAGTTAAAAATTCTTTGTGTAGCACCTATTTTTCTTTTGCGTACCACCGGTGTTACACACCCCTGATATAGTCAATTAAGATAAATGTTCATCGTCCGTGCTGGATTTAAAATGCATTTCTTAGCTTGAAGCTGTATATTTTATCCCAGTGTTGAGATCTGAGAGAACTCTTGTGTTATATGTCAAAATTTTAGGGCATGATTACAAGAAGGAGGTAGACATTTATTGACAAGCTGTTGCTGTTTCTGGCATCTGTCATAACCATAAATGTCTGGTTCTGGATAAACCACAAGTGTTTGACTTTATTATAACAGTCAAACATCAGTTATAAAAAATTAGGTATATGTTTCATTCAGAAACAGTTATAAATCTATGGAAAGGAGTAACTATTTGATTGTACCTAAACCTGTTTAAATACTATGTGGCATTATAGAACATTTCTAAATATCTAATAAAATTACTTTTAGGAGGATTAAGTCTAAAAAATCATGTGCATTTATATAACCTATAATTTAGTCAACATCATAAACCGATAGGTAACCTCTTGATTCAGCAAAATCTTATTTTGAAAGAAACTGAATTCAATCTAGATACTTAATTTTTTGTAAGCTATAATGTGATGCTGTTATAAATGACCATTATAATCTAAGTTACATAACTTCAGTTGCATGTAAGAATGCTAGCGAGCTGTGAAAGAAAGAAGTAGCAAATATTTTTACATGAAGGAAGTAGCACATATTTTTTGAATCCAAAATGAATATTTGGATTTAATAAAGTTTTTGACTCATCTTTATAAAGTACTTTCAAATATTAAAAACTCATATTTTTTTAAAATAAAACTAATATTTTAAATCAAATTACTATTTATGAAATAGGTAAAAACATTTGCAGTCAGTTTGATATTTAGAAAACCTTATATTTTTAATCAACTAAAATTAATATTTTATGTATATAATAACCTGTATGGAGATCCCTTTGTCTTTATATTCATGTTGTAGAGCTCTCGAGAAGTAGTCTACATATGCCTAAAAATAAAAGTCAAAACGTTGTATTTAACCACCACCATCATGACAAATTAATGTAAAAGAAATTCTAAAATTGCTTCATCCTGCAATTAAATGTTTTTATTTTCAATACAAATGTTTCAAATATTTTATTAAAGATTGATAAAGAGCTATTGAAGTTAATACTTAAATATTTTCATATTAGAGTAAATTATATATAATGCTTAGCAATTAATGCAATAATTTAAGTCAGTGCCCTTAGTTATAAAATTAATTTCAAGATAAATAATGTGTATAGTAAATAACATAAAAGTAATAATAAAAAATGATCAAATTATTAATTAATGAAAAGTGTTCAAAAATAGAATCCAAATTCACTAACATGATCTATTTTTAACTACATGTGTTGTTTCATACACGTATCCACATTTTTAAAAGCAGACTAAATATTTGATTATTGCAAATTGCATTTACAGCACAGACGAGTAAAACCTGATACAGCTAACCTGTTGAATTGTCAGGAATAGAAACCCAAACTGAACTGTGTGAATCTTAAAATATTCTATAGATTTGTTCAAAGATTTGTTTTATTACAGACTGTTTTCTGTACAATTGTTAAAAAAAATCTAATTGCAAAGTTATATTTAACAATTTCATTAAGAAAGTTTTCGATATCCTAAAGCACTTTCCTATACAGCATAATATCTAAAGCATATACATTCACTTGATTAAAAATTTTTTTTCTTATTCACTTAAGAATGTAACCAGAGTTAATTTGTTATGCATAATGTATGGAATTTTCTTTATTCTGAGATAACTATGACTCAAATGGATCAATCTTGTCAAACCTGTTTATGTTTGGGCAAATATATAGAGTTACTGTGCATAGCTGAGTATACTCGAAAATAATTCATGGGACTATCTAGCACATGACAGAATATTTTAGACTAGAATAACATCTTTTGCTTTGCTATGGGCTAGAGTATACTTTAATTGTGTATGCTTTAAATTATGCTAAACAATAATATTTCCTTCAACCATAAATTATTTAAAATTTGTATTACTGGTTAATAGATGGCACCATTAAACTACGGATACTATTTAGATTTTGTTAGATGCTGCTATTTCTTTATACAAGTACAGTCCATTTACATTGTGTTGTCATGTTCCTTAGCGATATTTTGTGATGTTATTGCATATATTCAAAATGCCAGATGACAAAAATGAATATGAATATTCTGATGGGTTAGATATTAAGTAGATTTAGATGTTAGTAAGGGTGAATTGTTTAGACCAGAGATTGCCAAACTATTGATCACAAGTTACTAGTAGCATGCGAGGACATTTTCAATAGATCTTTTAACTAAGTTATGCAGCGTCACCATATGTTAATGCTGCAGTTGGCTAACTTGGATAATTTGATTTACACATTTGTACCAAGCTAGGCATGTTCAATTGCAACTCTTCTAACAGTGGCATGTTCAAGCAAACAGGAAAAAACTGACACATTCATTCGCTATGGGAAACCGATTACTTCTTTATCCAGGTAAAGGACAAATGTCCTGTTTACTGTGCTATGCAAGCGTATCAATCAGTTGGTAAGAAAATAGTGAATTCAACAAGCACTTCCAAGATTTCAAAAGGATTTCAATTGTTTGTCAAATTGCCTTTTATAGAGATTAATGCTGAAAAGTTCTCTACTTATATTATTATGAAGCATTTTGATTTTCAAGAAGATAATACTGCAGTGGAATTGAAACTGATTGATTTTCAAGATGATATTATCTTTAAAATGGCTTCTTCAGCTCTGAAGATATTTGGCTTCTTGTTCCTAAAGAAAAATACCCAATTTTGGTCCAGGTTTGTCTCAAAGGGAAGACAATATTCAGATCTACATACTTGTGTGAGATTTCTGAAAAAATCTGGCATTACATTTGTTATTTATTGAGTGTCTTCAGTGCATACTTCAATGTCTTTCTTATGAACAATGCATTTCAGTTTCTTTTTGTTATACATAATTTAATTAAAACGGATTTCATATTTACTAGAAATGCAAGTTTATAGACAATAAACTAATGCAAGATTTAAAAAAAAAAAAAAAATGGTATTTCTTTTGGTTAGTAGCTCTGAGTAGGATTTAAAATGGTACAGTAACTCAGAAGCTCCACAAGTTCGGCAAACACTGGTTTTGACCATCCAATGAATTAGAACCTTGCATAACTTCTGCTTGTCAATGGTTTATGCTAAATACAGATATGCTGGCTCCACTGATATTTCCTTTTGTTGCAAAGCCAATCACAAATTTTCAAAATGAAGACAGTACCACTATTTTAGACCATTTCAATCAATTTTTGAATGACAAAATTATCAATATGATAACATTTGAAATAAACAGGTACGCAGAACAGTCCTCAGCAAATAAGCCTTCAGCAACTTCTAATAGTTCATGGATTAATCTTACTTTGGCTGAAATATCGGTGTTTTTTATCTTCGATCAAACTATGAAGTGTTGTGAAAAAACCCAATGATGAAGCATTACTCATCAAAAGATATACTCCTGACATAACCATTTTTTCCTCAATGCATGTCACCGTATTTTTTTGCCAAATTTGGTCCATATTGGCAAAAATATTTTTGGATTATAATTAGGCTCATTGGTTTCCTTTCAAATCAACAATAAATAACCTTTTGACAGATAATTAAGTAATAATTTGGTTCTTCAGCAGTTAAAAAGGAGCAATAGTAAGATGAATATTTTTTTAATTAAAATTTTTAAGCATCTAAATTCAACATACCTTGCATGCAGCATAAGTTGTAAGTAATGGTGTTGGGTATACAGCAATCAGAGATGATATGTTAATAATGAGACCTTTACCTCTTTCTTCCATCTGAGGCAATATGAGTTTTGTCATCTGCACAAGAAAGTTGCAATATAAACAAAACTGAAGTATAAACATTTGGCACTTAAACAGGTATACATAAAGTAAGTCTAGATGTATTAGTATATGAATATTTAGTACGTGCCAAATGCATGTACTAAATATTCAAGTAGACATATGGTGTTTCTAAAATACCCTTTATATATAGTTTTAATTTAAATTTTTAATTATGGATTCGTTTAAATACTGCACAAAATTTTAATCTTGTATAATACACAAATAAAGATGTATATTTTTACGCATTATCTTCAAACACACCTTTTGACCTTATTTCTTAAATTTTAATACTGTTTACATTAATATTAAAGTAATGCAACATTTTGCTTACTATATTTTTAGATCAAATTTTAATTACTGTTTAATTTTTAATAATATAGTTAAAACAAAAATTTCTCAAATAATGAAAACAATTGCTAATTTAAGCATTTTGATGTATGGCAGTTTTTGATGTAGCTGTGCTGATTATGTTCATTATTCTGATTCTAAAGCTTAATAAAATTACATAGGTTGCTGTTTTCATCCCTCCAGTTAAATATACAATGAAATGTTGAATAATATAAATAATTGTATTTTAAATTATTAACCTGTCAAATTGAAACATTTAAAAGAAGTTCATGATATTAATGAAAAGATGTATAGATATTTTTTCCCAGAGTTTTTTATATTTACTAGTTTAAAATTATATGTGTAGAAAAAATTTGTTTTCTAATGTTAATAGCAGGAAATAAGGAGAAAGAATAAAATACATTAAATATAAAATGGTGTAATTTAGAATTTACAGGAGTGAATTAAATAAATGATTTTATAGCAGATCACCTAAGGGTATATGAAAAGAGCACTTTCTAAGGAAAACTGGCTCATTTTCGTGTTATGCAGAAAAAAATCATGAAAATGTTGATGCAGTTAACCATTTTATCAGGATATGAGCTTGAATCAAACTACCAGTGTCAGTAGCCTTATTCACTCAGACCCTGGTAGGGCCAAGAATATGTAGAAGGAAGAAATTTGTTATAACTAAGAAACTTGTGTTTGCAGCAAACACATATTAAATCAGTTTTAAATACTGATAATCTACATATTTATTATACTTGTGTACATAGCAAATGTATGCATTTCGCCAATTGTATTCTTTTAAAAAAAGAAAGATACGAAATAGAGTTAAGATCTGCACATTTATTAAAGCAATGAAAAAGTAAATATTTTGACATTTTAACCATGAAATCTCATGCAATTCATACTATTCTAATAAATTTTCAAAACTGAAAATATGTTTTACTGTACATTAAAAATATATATAAAAAAGTATTTTTGCAATATTCTTTGCGTGTTCCAGGTAATTACTCATTAGTTAAATTCATCATGATTTTGATAAGATCTAACATGTGTATTTAAAAGATATTGTAAAACATAAAATAAGCTCTTTAGTTAAAACTAAGGATAATTAATCCTTGCTAATATGTTTTCACATTTGCCTGTTTAACAGGCAGTTAAACAGGCAAAGTTAGTTATGAAGTAAAATCCTAATGGAAAATAAAATGCTTAAAGTTATGTAAACTGTATTGAGTGCAATAAATACAATTTTGTCCCTGTATGGCGATAAAAAGTGCAATGAAAATTCGTCAAATTTAATATTCTTAATCACTAAAAAATAACATATATTCCATAGAACTTCATGCAGTATATAAAAAGAAAAGTTTTGTGTTCAAATAAAGCTGACACCTACGTATGAACCAGTTAAGGAGTAATATGGGTACTCTTCTGTTATTGAGACCAGATTCATAAATGTATGTATGCACATGTATATACAAGTATGTGCATGTATACAGAATACATGTACATACAGAATATACATGTGCATACATGAGCACATACATTTATAAATACATGCATATATACTTATATTTCTGAATTCGGTCCTGATCACTGAAAAGTACCAAATTATGTACCTTAATCAAATCTAATCTTATTTCTTTATAAATATCTAAGAATTTCAGTCATCAAAAAGAATTATTAGTAAACATGATTGGTACAGTTAAGACTTGACATATTACTTTATAGCCTTTTTTGGGTTCCTTTTTGCTAATCTTGAAACTTAGCAATAAAACTTGTATTAAAAAAGATTATGAAAATTCTTTAGCTCAGATTTTCGTTACTTTTAATGAACCCTTTCTATAATGAACATACATACAGAAGTAATCCAATTTGATACATGCAATAGTGTATATGGAATCTTTATGACCCAAACCTTTCTATGATACCTTCCACAAAAGATCAGTATCTCTTCCAACTGTGAATGGTCATACAGTATTTCTGAATTCCCTGAATGAATTGAAATATCAATACGGCTAAAAGAGTGAGCAAAACTTTTACAATTGTTCTTATGAATATGCATGACAAAGCAACTGAAATAATTTATGAATATCTTTACCATAGTGCAGGATGCAATATTAGAATTTATCAAATCCATCATAACCTAAAAAAAAAAAGATTTAATTTCAAGTGAATGTATTTAACACAATATATTTATTATGAAAAATATAAAATATTAAATAAATGTTTTGTTAATTAAAATACAAGTACCTTTAGCCCATCAGGAATAGCATGAAAGTACTCAGAATATTTGTAACTCATTCCCACATTATTCACTAAAATGTAAAATTTATTTTAATGAATTCCATATCAGAAAATTTGAATTTTCTATCTTAAAAATATTATTGCATCGTGTTGCAATAAATTTTCTTATACAATATTTGACAATTATCCAGATACTAACTAAAAGCTTCTGTTATCATAATTCATTTATAATTATTCAACACTTTTTTTCAGTTTTACCTAAAATTCCTACTCCACCATCTAATTCATCCAAATGAATTTTGATTATATTATATATTTCAGGGCCAGCAGTAAAATCAACATTTATAATTTTTGTTGATACTTTATACGTTTTCTCTGTAAAAGAAAAGCAAAAAAAGATATAACTAGAACAATCTGTATGCTTTTTCTGAAATATTGATAACACAGACAACTAAAATTTTAATTCATAAAGCTTTTGTTTGCTTACGTATATCAGTTAAGTTAAATTTCATAAGAAATCTTTTAGCATAAATAAACTCATTTTAGAAACTAATAATAATCTACTAGACTTACGTATTTCTGTAGCTACTTCATTTAACTTTTCAATATTTCTGCTAATTAAGCATATGTTAAAGCCTCTTTCTGCTAACTGGAAAATATAAAAACATATTTTAGCCGAAATTTAAGCTATTGGAACTGAAGAAAGAAATATATTTACCTCTTCAGCATAAGCTTTTCCTATTCCGTCAGTACCACCAGTAATAACTAACAATAGAATTAAAAGGTATAAATACTTTTAATAACCGAACATAAAAGAGTTTTTCAACGAAACGAAACTTACCTGCCCATTTTGCTAGTTCCTTCCAGGTGAATTCGAAATTCTTTCTTAAATAAGGATAAGCTAGTTTTAGTAAAAATGTAGATAACTTGAATAGCTTGAAACAGACAACAATTGCTCCTATCCATTTTAAAAATGGATAATTATGAAGAATTTGTTGCATTAGGAAAAATACTTTTGTTAACAGACTTTCGAAACTTATAGCTTCAAAGCTCAAGTTTAAGCGCCATTTAAAACGCCTGCAAAACTGAAGCATGCTATTGGAGAACTAATATCGTCTGCAAAGACTTACCCTCGAAGGCAGGTCTAACGTACAAAATGTCGCTGTTTAATGCATCCAGCTCCCACCATATTCCATAGCAAGCTGCAATAATGGCAGTAAAGGCCTTTCATTGTTTGTACAACTGTTTTATTTTAGACTTCACTGCTCAAGAATAATTTAAAAATTATTTCCGGCATAACTTTCGCAACATTTTAGAGGGAAAAATAGCATCATTTTGCGTGTACACGAGCAGATCTGTCATTAGATCAACATAGTTGATAGAATTGTTTTCGTTGTTTTTGTTTGCTTTTTTCCCCCGAGCATATAAATAAAATATAAATGTTTCCTCCTTAGTGCTGAAAATATGACAGCGAATTTTGATTACACACTGATTGACTATTCTTCTACTGATTGACTGATTTGACTATTCTTCTTTTTACTAAGGCATTGTAAGACTGAAAATTTGATATTTCGTAGAAGCTGCAACGAATTATATTTAAGTATGTTGATTTTCAGTTTATGAAACAGAATGCCCATTTATTTATTGTTATGTGGACACAGACGCACAAAAAGGCAATTTTATTTCAATATTCTATTTACTAGTAATACATATTTCAGTTGCATATGCATAAACATTAGAATAGAGTTTTTATAAAGTAATGTGAAATTTTTTATTTGTAAAAGTTAAATGTTTTCAGACATTTGTGTTTTTCAAGTTATTTACAAATACCAATAACTAAATATTAGCGAAATAACTTTATTTTCTTTTCACATACATGTATATTATTGGTTATCTTTTTTAAACATTGCTTGTTTTAACACAAGATTTTAAAAACATTTTGGGTAAAAAAAATTATTCAAAGCATTTTGAAAACTGAATATTAGGATACTTTGAGCAAGCAGTTTATATTTAACTGAAATATTAAAATAATGAGACATTCAATATTTTGCTGGAAATCATATCAATAAAATTACGCCTTCCCTAGTTTTGGCATGAATTCAACTAATTTTTTCATGCAAGAACGTTCCATTTTCTTCCATTCCTTCCTAAGAACTACTTTTAGTAGAACTTTTAAAGAAATATTTCATTATTCTTTTCTCCAGTTCATTCCATACGTGTTTGGTAGAATAGTGTTTTGATTATTTCAAAAGAGTTGTATGATAGCCACAAGCAAACACTCAAGTCTGTAGGTTTAAAATCGTTATCTTAATAGAACTCGCAGGGCTTTAACTCAGATTGCACGCAGGCCAAATGCAGGATACAGGCGAAAGACTGCAATTAAAAAAGAGTTTTATTTTATTATTAATAAAACAAAATTTGTTAACTAAATTTAAAAAAAAAATGGTTATAGTTGTGCGAAAATTTACATATAAAAATTACACAAAAAAAGAATTATACTTATTTTCTGCCTGAAAACTGAAGATTGTTATGATAAACTGCAAGAAATTTTGATTGATCACATATTATAATTCAAACTAGCTAATATTAAAATATTAAAAGCTAATATTAAAATTTTCAGATTGACATTTATTCAACTAATTGTGACATAATGAAATAACCATAAATAACTTACTTTAATTATAACTAGAAAGAAATATATGTAAGCTTCCCAAGAAAAACAAAACTTGAGATTAAGTAATGACAATATATTCTCTTTCTTTTATTTATTGCATTTTTCTACGAAACATGCAGAAAAAATACATATATTTGGTCAATAATTATGAACGCCTTTGTTTCTTTCTACACGTTACTGCTACAGCACCTCAGTGTTTCCATTTTCATAAATTTTGTAAGCTTGGAGGAAAATTACTAGAGAGTATCTTCATCAATAATTTGTGGATACTCATATCAATTTGCAGATGAATCTGTAGACAATTTTCTCCTATGGAGGAAAAAAAAAAAAAAAAAAGTGTACAAACAAAGCGATTCTTCTTATTGCAAAACTCGTAACTGAGGATATTTATCTTTTGACAAGTACTAATAAAAGTTAATCAATTTGTATCTTCAAATCGGTAGGGTACGAACTGCGCCAAATTTGATCGAAAATCCCCGTCCCCCTCTTTTTTAATCCACGAACTGCGCGACGTTTCCTGTCCCCCATTTCTTTCCAAGAAGATTGGGTGCTACAAAAAATCGTTTATCGCCATTAACGGGACATTCTATTGAGACTGCAAGCTTTTATTTTCGTTTATCAATATTGCAAAAATTGTGCATGTAAAACAAATATTAATTTAAAGTCTGGCGTGTGCTAAAAAATAAATTTCTTTTACACTCATTTTAAAGTTTTATGATGCTTAAAAGAATGATAAGCCAGATCTTTTTTATTCTCTGTAAGAATTAAAAACTTTCCAAATTGTAGATTTTAGTTGCTGATATATCCAGTGTCTCAAAAAAGTGATGGGACACTTGTGCTTTACAAAAGGAAACTGCAATAAAATAAATTTAAAAAAACATGCAAATTTTTTTGTGGGTGTGTTTCATACTTAAATTTAGTAACAATTATTACATAACATACATTTTCTCAAAATATTAAAATATTAATTTAATAAAAATACAATTGTTTAGAACGGAGCAGAAAATGGCTCACTTAAGTGATGGGACACTACGTACTATGCAACAAAATCGTCTGAAGTAAGCAATAAAAATATCTTTTGGGGTATTTATTTTTACTCAAAAGCAATTGCCAATAATTTATAAAATCGTCTGCAGTATTTCTGTCCAGTTTGTTTTGGAATTTTTGTGTTTTTTAGCTCTGTGCAGCCATGAATGCTAAACGAAAAGAAACTTTGCCTGGAATTCGAAAATTAGTTATTAATTTTCATATTGAACGTGGAAATTCTATTAGAGAAACTACTGAAACAGTTAACTTGAGTCATTCAACAGTTTTCAATATCATTAAACGATATAAAAAGAATCATATGATTCAGGATAAAAGAAGACCTGGCCGACCATCAAAGCTATCCAATGGAATAAAGCGAATTATCGTTCGAAATATTTAAAAAAATCCAAGAATGAGTGCTCCTAAAGTTGCTGCTGATTTACAAGCATTATATGGAGTAATTGTTAATTCTGAGACTATTAGAAGAGTAATTCGATCTACTGGATATCACGGTAGAGCAGCCAGGAAAAAATTCTTCGTAAGTGAAAAGAATAGAAAACTCAGACTGGCTTTCGCAAAATCCAACATAAATAAGAATTCTGATTATTGGAATGAAGTTATATTTGCTGATGAGAGTAAATTTAATATATTTGGTTCTGACGGTAGAATCTTGGTGTGGAGAAAACACAGGGAAGAATTTCGCAAACAGAACTTGGTGCCAACAGTAAAACATGGTGGAGGAGGAGTTATGGTATGGGGGTGTATGTCGTCCGCTGGAGTTGGTAATCTTGTTTTTATTGACAGTATAATGGATCAGTACAAGTATATTGACATTTTAAATCAAAATTTGAAATCTTCAGCACGAAAATTGAACCTTCATAACGATTTTAAATTCTACCAGGACAATGACCCCAAGCACAGTGCTTTGAACGTTAGACTCTGGCTGCTGTATAACTGTCCTGAAATAATAAAAACACCCCCACAATCTCCACAATTAAATCCCATAGAGAATATTTGGCAAAAATTGGAATCAAGAATTCGCAAACACACCATTTCTTCAAAACAACAATTAAAATCGGTGCTTCAAGAAGAATGGGGTAAAATCACTCCAGAAATCACAAAAAATTAGTCGAAATCCATCCCAAGAAGATTAAATCATGTTTTAAAAGTAAAAGGAAATCCAACAAAATATTAAAACCTTTTAAAAAGTAAAATTTTTGGATAAATATTTGATGGAAAAGTAAATGCCCCATCACTTACGTGAGTATCCCATCACTTAAGTGAGCCATTTTCTGCTCCGTTCTAAACAATTGTATTTTTTTAAATTAACATTTTAATATTTTGAGAAAATGTATGTTATGTAATAATTGTTACTAAATTTAAGTATGAAACACACCCACAAAAAATTTTACATGTTTTTAAAATTTATTTTATTGCAGTTTCCTTTTGTAAAGCACAAGTGTCCCATCACTTTTTTGAGACACTGTATATTAGTTTTGAATAGTAAAATTGATAGATTAATGACATACACAAAACTGATACATAATCAACGTATCAAATATCGGATTTGTAGCTCACCTTAAATAAGTTTCTTGTCTAGATAAATATTAACAAATCTTCTTAGATAGCAAAATGGTTTTAACTTTCAAATTTACCATTTTAGGTAAACAGTTCTAATTTAATTATAAAAATTATCTTTATTAAATCTAAAAATTGGACTTCTTAAGTCGTTCTAAATTCACACTAATATTATTGCAATATATTCCCGTATTAAGCTTTTCATTTTTAATCATTGAAGTTATTTTAAGGTTATTTAACTTTGTTACAAATTCCATATTTAATACTAGAAATGTTTAAATATTTATTCTGTTTTCCACCTGATATACTTTGGCATGCATTTAATTTCTAATAATTTCTAATACACATTTAATTAATAAATTTATAATTATGAGCGTCATCAGAATTTTATAATTAAAAAAAAAAAAAAAAAAAAAATTCAAACTCCCTTATATTCATATCCTGGGATTTCCAGTCTCCCTTTTAATCCATTCCTTTTTCACATATTGTTGCACTGTACTCAAGTTTTCATGTATGTAAAATTTATATAATTTGTATTGTATTTATGCCAATTTATAATTAAATGATAATTTTTACAAATTCTTGCTTCATAACTCTAGTTAACAGAAGATGTTTCTAACACCTTGGCAAAGCTTAATCTTCAGCATGTAGCTTATTTTCTAATCTAGTTTCAGGCTGAATTATTTGTAAAATTAGTTACTTTAAATTATTTGTTAACAAAGATGGTCGCTAAATCACGCTAATAATATTTCTAACTGTTGTAATTTATAATGCAACGAGTTGATACGATTTATAATATAATTCATTTATAATTTTTTCAGCAGTATTGAAATTAATAGCAGATACTGATAATGTTATACATTTAGATTACAATGATTTAGATTGCCATTGCCTTCTTCACTCATGCTTTTATGCTACTTCCTAATATTTCATAATGTCATACAGGTAAGTTTAACTTATTCATTAAACATGTAACTCTCTAATTCAGCCTCCTTTTGTTCTTACGTGTGCTGTATCTTCTATTTTCTTTAATATATTGTTGAGCCTAATTTCAAAAGGTCTTAAAATCAAGCGGAAAAGTCACTAAACATTGGTAGTTCGACTCGAGTTTCTAGCCCAGTGATCCCCTAGCTCTTTCTTT